CCCCCGCCACGCCTTCTAATATACCCGCTCGGCGGGCGTTGCGCGACCCCACAGTCCCCCTGGACTACGATCGCCTTTCACTTGCGATATCTTCCGCTATCTGCTGTCTACCCGACTCTCCTAGCTAAACCTTTTCACGACAGCTAACTTCTGCGACGTAAAAGTATATCACCGGTTCGACATATCAGTGGCACGACACAACACAACACGACACAACACAACACAACACAACACAACACAAAAGCAATAGTGACGACCTTGACGATTCAGGATGCCTTTGGACGCCTCTCTTCTATTGACCTCGCCCGGCGCCCTCAGCGCGGTGGTGAACGCCCTCCCGCGTCGCGATGCATCCCGCTTCGCCCGCACGTCGCGTGGCTTCCTCGAACCAGGACTCGGTGCCGTATGGCGCGAGCTCGACTCGCTCGTGCCGCTGGTCTCACTCTTTCCGAATCATATCTTCAAGAAAGCCAAGCGTCCAGGAGCGGGTCTGGTATGTCTCCTCCCACCTCTCTCCGCTCCCGCCGCTTCTCCAATTCGCATCGCATTACCCCGACATGCGCTGACCACGCGCCATACAGGCCTCAATGCCGAGCCAGGCAGATTGGTCCCGTGTACTCGCCTACGCGCCGCTCGTGCGCTCTTTGACGTACGACGAGAACGCGCGGACCGCGCATCCCTCGCTGTTCCCCGTGCTCGCCGCCTCGCCGGGTGGCCCGCTTCTTCCGCGCCTTCGCGCCCTTACATGGCGTGCGGAGAGCCCGGCTGGAGTAGCTCGCGCCGCGCCATTCCTGTCTTCAAAGCACCTACACGAGTTAGCCCTCACACTTGGTCCCAAGGCGGTCGCACAGCTTGCGGACCTGCTTGGCGCGCCCGAGGCAAGCGCGCTTCACCTCGCGACGTTCGACCTTGTCGCGGCTGCATCGGTGCCCACGAATGTACTCGAGGCGTTTCCGGACATCTTTGCCGGGCTCGACAGCCTCTCGCTGTCCATGCCAGAGCTCCTCTCGCCTGAGATGGGCATATGGATCGCACACCTCCCGCACCTCAAGACGTTGGAGCTCGATCTCGCGGGTGCGAGTATCAACGATGTGAAGAGGTTCTTCATGGATATGCCTGGCCTTCGCCCGCGTTCGGGGCGTAGCTCACCTACGATGGATTCAGATAGCGGGATATTCTCTGGAGAGGGAGTGGAGGAAGAGGAGAGTACTGCAGGTCCCGGCGCGCTACCACGCGTACGAACGCTCAAGCTACGCGGCGCCGCGCGCGCCATCGCGGAGTTCCTTAAGCACCTGGCGCCCGGCGGACTCGCGAAGCTGCAGCTGTCACTGGCCGACCCACCCGAGCCGGCAGACTGGGCCGATGTGCTCGAGCTGCTCGGCTGCTGCTTTGGAGCGTCGTTGACGAGCTTCGTCGTTGGTGCCGCGCAGACGGTCGTTGAGACGGGCAGGAGAGCGCCGCGTAGGTTATGCCTCGATGCGCTGGCGAGGGTGTACTTGCCCGCGCTAACGAGCTTCTGCGTCGATATGAACTGTGCGGCGGTGATCACGGACACAGATCTGTACGTCCCTTCGCTACTTGTACATCCGCAAAGGTAGGCTGACTTCGCTATAGGTATCATCTCGCGCGCGCATGCCCCGCACTCCACAGGCTCTACCTTCCGCTTTCACCGCCACGCCCACGTGCTACACTCGACGGACTCGCCTTCCTCACGGCCCGCTGCCCGTCCCTATACAGCATTTCTATCTCACTCGATGCGCGCCAACCGCCCTCGGACGGCGTCTTCTTCGACCTTAGCGCAAGTAGTCGTGCACTACGCATACTTGATGTGGGCAGCAGCTGCGCGGGTGACGCCATCCAATCAGCCGTCGCGCTCAGCCACCTCGCGCCCCACCTCGAGACTTTGCGATACGCTGAAGCATGTGCGGGAGAGGATGATACGGATGAGAAGGCATGGTCAGAGTGCGCGAGGATCTTACCGGCGTTGCAGGGCGTAAGGCTCACGGAGCGATGGATCGCGATGAGCTATATGCCTGAAGCGCGCGATATGTGCGAGCAGTGGGTTGAGACGGAGGAGGTCGAGGAGGTCGTCAGGCGGACGCTGGACTACGGCGTGCAGGTTGCTCCGGAAGTTGTGGAGCAGGAGGTACTGGTGGTGGAAGAGACGCCGAAGCGTGAGATGGTCGAGGTTGCGATCGACGCCACCGGCCCGCCGCCCACGCCAAAGGTTGTCCGCTTCTCCCCTACGAACGATTACTTCGAGCTCGAGGATCATCATGAGGAGGACGAGCTGGAGGCCGAAGAGCGTGAGTGGGAGGCATTGGAGACGTCCACGATCGAGATCAAGGCGATCAAGGACGAGCGGGAGGTTGACGCGCTCAGGCCGCCGGTTATCGAGGTCGAGCCTCCCACACCGGTGAAGTGTGCACCGGACGAGGGGGAAGGAAGCCCGTTGTTCAGCTTCGGCGATATCGCTGCGTGCGCAGAGGATATGCAGGAGGGCGACTCTGGTGACGACTCTTCCGTCACGGAGGAGATCGTGTTCAATGTCGATCCCATACCGCTACCGCCGCCGGAGGTCGTTGACATTGTTGTCGAGGGCGCGTCGTTTGAAGACGATGTTGAGACGGAACGGCCGAGTATCGAGCTGGTCGCGGTCGATACGGAAGCCGGCGGGGCCAAGAAGTCGGAGGAGAGCGCGGAGCCAGAGGATAACCTTCCTCCAACCGAGTACGGGACGCCAACCGAGTCGCAGTACGACTCTGCTCCACGCGGAGATGGTGCATCGACAGAGCCCGATGCACAACACTCCAGCCCTGCGTCTTCTAATGAGGAGTATGAAGAGGCAGAGCCGTTGATCACGCGCGAGACGTCTGAGTCTCCGATCCTTGACGCGCTTGAAGCCAGCGAGGAGATCGACGCGCCGCCATCACGCGAGGACGTGCAGACGCCTCCACCTCCGTACGCCTTGACACACTCTGAGTCGAGCGGCCCCTCACCACCAGACTCAAGAGCGGGCAATCAACACCAGCAACACACTGCGATGCTCGATATGCCCACGCCGCCTACCCAGCTATATATCCCGCACGTCGTCTCGCGCTCCGTGGACCTGGCCTGGAAGATTGCGTTCTTCGGACCGAACTTCATGACCGCGCGCATGCATGACATATGGGCGCTTTCACCACTGGGCCCCGGAGGCTCGCACTGGATGCAAGGGGAGAAGAACCGGGGTCAATCGCCATCCCAACGGAGGGAGGGCGAGATGGAGGTTATGCATATTGATGATGAGGAAGAGGAGAAGGAGCAGCGCGGCGGGAACGCGATGATGAGGAGAGGTATCTCTCCTGTATGCATGTAGAAGTCACCATATGCACCATACCGAAGTATGCGATATGTACCATGTCGGATCTGGATCATTCTGTTTGTGCTGCTACATTACATTTGCGAATTTCATTACTTTCGTTCCATATGAATACCACTGTACCTATACAGACGCAGGTATTCGAGAAGGTATAGGGTAGACAACCAGAGCTGCATTACTCACATCGTGCTAGTGGGAGCAGGACGACAAGCGTCGCGGTAAGATCAGTACGACGAACGCGTCACGGCAAAGGCCGAGACGCGAGGACGCGCGTCGAACGCGTTCAGCGCGTCTCCCCCTTCACCCGCATCTCCTCCATCATCCTCACGCGCCATGTCTGAGAACAGGAAACAGGAGAAGGACTACACCACAGAGGTAGACGAGGCACTTCCGCTGGCCGAGAAAACCGCCAAGGTGCGTATGAGTGATCGGTGTGATCTCGAACCACATACTGAAAGTGCTATAGAGCGGAAAGCTGCAGGACGCCCTCGACAAGCTATTTGTGTTGGAAAAGCAGGCTCGAAATGTGCGCTTCTCGCCATTCTCTGCCATATGCTTCTTACTCATATTTATCCTGTGTATGTTAGGCGGCCGACCTGAAATCTACGACGCGTCTGGTCACCGCGATCACGCGGTTGGCGTACGAGACGCGCGATTATTCGCTACTCAATACCAGCATTCAAACGCTCGCCAAGAAGCATGGCCAATTGAAGGGAGCAGCGCAGGGAATGGTCGAGCAGGCGATGGGCTGGTTGGACGAGATTCGCTCGCGAGACGGCGTTGAGAAGTGGCTTGAGCTTGTCGAGACGTTGCGTACGGTCACCGAGGGCAAGGTGCATCATGACATTCTATGTAATACGTGATGACACTCATACTGTCCGTACAGCTCTACCTCGAGACACCTCGCGCACGCGTTACCCTCCAGCTCGCACAGTATTACGAACATTTGGCCGAGAACCCGACAAAAGACTCCCCGCCAAAACGTGACAGCCTCATCAGGGCGTCAGACCTGTTGAATGATCTTCAGGTCGAGACGTACTCGTCCATGGAGCGCAAAGAGAAGACAGACTTCATCTTGAACCAGATGCGGTTGCTCATCGAGGTTGCGCGGATCAAGGACGCAGAGTACGAGGTGGACCGCAAGGATGTCAAGGGGAAGGATCCTATGGGCGGCGGAGAGAACGAATGGGTCAAAGTTCGCGTTGCTAGCAGGAAGATCAATGAGCAATTCTTGACGGACAAGGATAACGAGGTTTGCCTTCTCGATTTATACCTGTGGCGCTGTGCTAACATAATCTTTCCAGGCGCTCAAGCTTACTTACTACGACATGATGGTGCAGTACGGCTTGAGGCATCATGCTTACCTCGACATTGCGAAATACTACCGGAAAGTATGGGAGACGCCATCGATCAAGGGAGACGAGAACGGCAAGGGTCGCATTGTGAGTCTGGCGTTCTCGTATTCGTTCATCTTGACGCTAATATCATATGTAGGCTCTCGAGCATATTGTATACTTCTGCATTTTGGCCCCACACGATAACGAACAATCCGACATGATGAACAAGCTCTATATCGACCCATCAATAACGAAGCTCGAGCCTCAGCAGTATGTACTATGGCTTCGTGTCTCTGGACTATACTCACATTGTTTGCAGTCAGATCTTGAAGTCGTTTACTGACCAGGAAATCATGCGCTGGCCAGCAATCGAGCAGGTCTACGGCTCTTTCTTGCGAGAAACGGACGTGTTCAAGGTTGACAAGCACTGGGAAGACCTGCATATCCGCATCATTGAGCATGTATGTGACTTCCTCCCTCTCATGAATACGCCCTCTGACAATATACCCAGAACATCCGCATCATCGCCACATATTACAGCCGAATCAAGCTGGACAGGTTATCAACGCTCCTGGACCTCCCCGTCAAGGAGACGGAGGAGACGCTCTCTCGTCTCGTTGTATCCGCTACTATATGGGCACGCATTGACAGGCCAGCAGGCGTTGTCAACTTCCGGGCGAAGCGCGACGCGGAGGAGGTCATGAACGACTGGAGTTCGGACATGCAAAAGTTGTTGGGTCACGTCGAGAAGGCGTGGATGGACATGAATGCGGCCCAAGCAGCACAGAGCAGGGTGAAGGCTCAGGCGGCTGCTGGGTCATGATGTACACTTACTTTGCACATGTATAATGGACTAACGCTTTCGATTGCATGCATTGAATCAAGACAATACAAAGATAGCCTGAGGTAAGAGCTTCCGCTCCTCAAGCCGCGATGGCCTTCTCGAACTGCTCAAGCGCCTGCTGGGCATCGTTCTCAGGTTCAGGACTCCCCCAAATGGCCATGATAGCCTTGCCGAATTCCGAGGCCAGCTCTCCGGGCGATAGACTCGCATCACTCAATAGCTCCCCGTTGCGGCGTGAAGCTTCGTAGAACGCCTTGGCTACGGGGCGGCGCACGTCGGCATATGCGCGGAAAGCGTGATGCACTGTCTCGCGCGTGACGCGCGGGTCTTTGAAGAGAGTCGAAAGAACTAAGGCATCCTAAACGAGGGTCAGACTCGGCAACTCATCATGCATCAGAGGGAATATCGACGACGCACCTCCATGGCTTGTCCAGCGCCAGCACCTTGGAATGAGGTCATTGCATGAGCCTGTAACGTCGTCGAATCTCAAGGTACATACGACGAAGCACATGACCTTCGCTTACCGCATCTCCAAGTAAAGTCACTCGACCTGAAGACCACTCTTCAAGCGGGTATAAGACATTCACGACCCATTTCTTTGCCTCCATGCCGTTGAATCCCTAGATCATCATAGTTAGTTCACGGTTCTGGGTATGCGTACACAGAGTAGCACTGACGGCAACGATCTTCCGCGGTTCTTCCGCCCAACCATCAAGGCGGTGGATGAGTTCATCGCCCTTCATCTCCGTGACCCATGGTTGGGGGTGGAACGTACCGTCCTGCGAGAAGTCGATGTTGTATAATGCTACGTTGAGCTTGAGACCTTGAGAGATGGGGTATATGACGAGGGCCTGTAAAATGCAGCGTGTCAGTGACGGGTAGTGTACACGGTGCCATCAAATATCTGTACCAGATTATTTCCCGTATACTAGCCAGGGTAGTCATTGAGAAGAGCCTACACTCGAGAAGGCGACACGACGTACGATCTTCGCAGCGTAAGTCCAGACAGTGCCATCGGCTGCTATGCCGACCTGCGCCAGTCTATCCCTTGACATGGCGGCACGATACACAGTGACACCGCTGTACCGAGGGGCAATGCCATCACGCAACCTCTCAGCCTTTTGTACATCCCCAGTGCGAGCGGCGAGACCTTCGAGTAGCGTAGCGCGCACGGCGCTCTTGACGCCGTCCGCACCTATGAGAATATCACACGTAGCGGAAGAGCTGTCCGCAAAGTCGAGACGGATGGGCGAGCCATCCTCAGGATCGGCGTAAGATACGAGTCGCTTGTTGTGGTGCATTCCGACGTGCTCCGGTATATGGCGGAAGAGGATGTTGTGGAATTCTGCACGATGTAGCGACACAGCTCCGCCTATGTAATAGGCAGATCAGTAAGCTTTGACAACAGCGTTACAGCACGTGAGACACACCTCCCCCAGCAGTCTCCATGGCTACTTTGAGCTCGCCTTGATCAGCCTTACAGACTGAGAACATAGTTCCTAGGTGGGGCGCATTCAGCAATCATGAATGGGACAGACGGATGATCAGCGAACATAGCACACCTTGACTGTGCTTTGCGCTAATCTCGACGACGTCCTCCTTGAGTCCCAACGTGGACAGAAAGCGCAAGTTACGGGACTGAAGGGAGATTCCGGCCCCGATCTCGATGTTGAAGTCCGTCGCTTGATCGTAGACGTCGACTGCTATGTCCTTGATACGCGCGAGGACAAGCGCGAGCGTCAGACCGCCGATACCACCACCGCTGCGTCGTAGTCAGCCCTACTATTGGAGAAGCTGAACGATGCTTAAACGCGCACCAGATGGCCACTCGGAATCTAGGCTCCGTACATTCGGACATGATGAAGACAGGAGTGGTTAATCCAAACAGAATCGAAGGCCGTCGTTACTTTATGTCCGTACGTCCCTGTAGTATTGGTGATATCGAACACGAAAGACTATTGACTCTAGTGAGAATCAGTGGTTGGAGATACGAACGTGCCGGTATAGAGCGTCAGCCCCGGCAGAAGCTCCAAGTTCTGCTGCCGAAAGTGATTGTATTGATTACGTCAAGAAGAGTCCGTCGTGTGCCGGTCGGCATCCGAATGTCAGCCTGGCGTAGGTTCGCGAGCATGCGTTGGAGATGAGCCATTGCGGAGGTAAGTACCAGAGCAGTCGCATGCCGATGAAAGTCGTCAGCCTTCAGTAGCGTCTTCAATAGCCCGAAAGTCCTGACCAGTAGCACGAACACGCGCGTGATGCTGCCCCACGGTTGGTACTGCGCATGGGCTGCTCTACGTCGCAATACAATAGCATACGGCGTTGTCATGTCTTGTCTGCTGCCGTGCAAATCATGATGGGCCGCCCGAACGGCGCAGAAAGGGAAACCCGACGCCGTCGGACGGCAGGCGTCCTCAATACCCCAGTACAGTCTTGTGGGCCGCTTGCGGACATGAACGGAGCCTTCACAAAGCGCGATAATCCTGGGCAATGTGTGCAATCACTAGTGAAGATATAAGATATAGCAATATGGGTGCGTTCTATGCCGGCTGCATCATCCGATCTATCTGTGCCTTTTGATGCTCGAGAGCAGCAAGCGGGTCGTTGTCGAGAGGCGTTGTGAGCGCCTCGTAATTTGGCCGTACGCCCGAGCGCCACAGCTGGACATATTCCTGTCCGCGCGACCACTCTCCCTTGGGTCCACCAGGCGGCACGACCATGCGCCAGCGCTTGCGAGCAATGACGTCCGACTGGTCCGCGCGCGCCTTGATCTCGACGTTCTGCTCCATGACGGCGTTCTCCGCCTCGAAGCCTGCAGTGACGGGTGTCGGGCCGAAGATGGCGCCCTGCGCCTCGGCTTCCTGCGCCGCGTAGGCCGTCATGAGATGATGTTCAGCGCGTAGGGCGCGGAACTGCGCGACGGCGGTTTGGTAGGCGTTTGATAATGAGACGCCGTGGTGTTTGTACAGGGTCACCGCGAACTGGATCGCACTGAGTCGCGTGAACGCGTGTGAGTGCATAATTTGCGCAGGTACTGCACTTGACACTCACTCTTCTGGGGAAGGATTGCGACCGCGCTCGCGCAAACGCGTCCATGCCTCTCCCCGCACAGGATGCTCCTCATCCACCTTCTCATCCTCGACCAGTGTTCTCGGCCTGAACGTCTCGAACGGGTGGTCCGCGAAGAACTGTTTCCGCACGCGGTCCTCCATGTAGTATATAGGCAGCGGTCGTCGTTGATGCGGGTTTTCGTGGAATGAGCTCCAGTGCGAGTCGAATGCAGTGCGCTTGGGAGGTGCGCGCGCGGGCAGAGGCAGCGGCGGGTGGTCGAGCACGGCTTGGTACCATGCGGGCTCCTTCATCGGAAAGCCCCCGCGCATGAGGCGCGAGACCTGTTTGTGCACAGAGTTGTTGAACCGCCGGACCATATCGGGAGAGTGGACACCGTGAACGTCGAGGTGAAGCCGTCAAGCGTGCGCTGGACGCGCTCCGTGCGAAAATGGCGCACCGGCCCGAGACGCGACCGCGCTTGCGAAGTGCCTGGTACTTAAGTTACACTCGGCCCAACATGTGCTATGCAAGCTCTTTTGGCGACGGAAATCAACAAAATATGTGTGTTGTCTCTTGGACTTGGAAGGTGCCTTTCTTGCGCTGTCAACTTGTCAACGCTTGGTTGACGACGATTGATACACCCAAATGATTCTGCGCCGCTTTGTACTTGCTGGCCCGGGGTGGATGTCAACATGTGCTACATACGCAGTCTATGTCGATAACTTCTGCTCTGCGCTATACATGAAGCCTCGAACAACTGTCATGTACCTCTCACGCTCTTCCCAGAACGGCATATGTGACGACTCGGCGAACTTGATCCACTTCACCTTGTCCATCTTCCAGAAGAACGGGCCGCATACGACGTCGGACATGTAATCGTACCTCCCGTTGATCAGAAGCGCTGGAACGTCCATGAGGTGAATACGATCGTCGACAGACCAGGTCTCAAACCAATTGTCCTTTCTGCCAAGAAGTCAGTCATGAGCTGCCCCTTCAAGAGTATGGCGCGTCGTACATGGCTTCCCATATCTTATCTCCATCGCCTTTCTTCTGCGATAGTGCGAAGATGATCTCCTGAGGGAAAGGCTTTAACCGGCAAGCGTGCGCCTCGTAAAAGGTCATCATAGCCTTGATGTACTCCGGGTCCTCCGTTGTCTTCTCCCTCTCGTGCTTCTCAATCGGCAGCCACACTTCATCACCCATAGCCTGTTCCATTTCGCGAACGGACTTGCGGTACTCTTGTGAGCTTGTGAGGGTGTTTGACAACATGACGCTCTTCAAGCCCTTCGGGTGATGGCGCACAATGAGCTCTGCGGCGATCTGACCGCCCCAACTGTGGCCCAAAAGATGGAACGCATCCTCAACGTGGAAGAACCGCACAAGGTTCTGCAGTTCCGCGATGAATACATCGAAGGTCCAGAAGTCCGCGGGTTTCTCGGGTAGATGGGTTGAACGAGACGAGCCGATCTGGTCGTAGAAGATGACCGGTCGGGCGCCTTCGCCGGTTGCGATATCGTACAGTGGAATGCCATAGTCGTGACAGGACCCGGGTGCTCCGTGTATGAAGATGAGAGGTGCAGGAGAGGTCGAGGAAAGGTTGCCAACGACCTTGTAGTATGTTTCGTACGTCTCGCTACCGTAAGCGAAAGGCAGTTTGCCCTCTTTGATGTTAGGCTCCGGCATAGTCTATCGCGCATGGGATTCGTCAGGGAAACAATGGAGTTTCAAAAACACGTACAGGAAGCCAGTGGGGGTGCGTTGGCCGCTATACAACTGGGGAGTGATCCTTCAGTATATAAACACAAGGCGTTTGGCGATGCAACGCGCGGCTGATCAACACTCCGAGAAACCCGACTTGCTCCTCGAGAAGAACGGTCCATGCGGACTTGCCACGCATCCAGATAGCTTGTCTTGAGCATCGGTATCGACGTATCAGCCCTCCGTGGCGCATGTACCTAGAAGTAAAATCCATTTCATTCTGGCAGCCGGCTGAACAAGGTGAGGTCATATAGCTAAAGAATATATAAGCTTCGGGGAATTATCAGACAAAGACGAGATGCCGAGCGGCGACGCGACGGTGAGAGCTCGAAGCGAAAGCTGAGGGGGAATAAGTAGCGTAAGATAGGTGAGTATGAGGGACTCAGTGTAGACAAAAGGCGACGCAGGAGGAGGTCAAGTCTGGCGTGGTATCCAAGTGCGGGAAGGGCGAAGCGCGGCCGGGCGGTGGAGCGGCATGTAAATGGGATATAGGTAGGGCGGGCATATGTTGAAGGAGAGGATGGTGGTAGGTGACAGAGGCAGCACTGGGCCGGGGAGTAGGGTATACGCGAGACGAAGCAAGATAGCGAGCGTGTGGGAGGTGACGATGTTTAGATCGGAACGACAAGACAAGGAGCGGACGTGCACACAGGCAACGGAGATCAAGAGGACAACAGGGAGAGCGACCGAATCAAGACGAACACGAGGAGAGCCTGAGAGCGACGGAAGAGAGACGTTATGAGCGCGAGCCTGTGCGTGCATGTGACGTCTGAGTAGGGGTGTACGGTTCGTACTCGCTACTCAGTGGTCGGCGATTCAAGCTTTCCGCGAACTGACGTTGCCACGAGTCGAAGTCGCCAACACTTGCGCGGTCGCCGTAGGCGAGCACATCGCTCGAGCCATGGCTCACAGGCCTATCGCTGACGCTGATGCCCGAGATGGGACGGTCATGGCCAAATGCAGGGTTGTCGTCCTCGAGTAACAGCCCGATCTTGTGCTGCAACTGTTCGTTCTCGTGCTTTAAGCTCGCGTTCTCGTTGCTCAGCTGCTCAACTAGGCTCTCGCCGTGCCCACCACGTGCGACGTTGAGGTTCGCGTTTAGACGTTCGCCCTCGGCCTCGAGCTCCTCGATCCGACCCAAGCGCTCGTCCGCCTCGCGCTGCGCAGCAATGAGGTTGTCCCGCATGTGCGCAAGATCCTTCTCCAGACTGTCGATGCGCAACCGGCAATCCTTGTTGTCGTTCATCAGGCGCTGGGTCTGACGCTGCGCGTCGATGAGCTGGGTGCGGAGCGCCTCGCTGGTGTTATCAGGTGTCCCGCGCCCATTGAGACGCCGGGAGCCTGATCCGGTCGAGTCTGCGCCGCCAGATGAGCCGCGCAGTTGTTCAACTTCGGAGAGGAGGCCAGTATTGAGACCCTTCTGCTTGACGAGCTCGTCCTTAAGCCGCCGATTGATCTTCTCGGTCTCCCTGTTTTCTAGTTAGTATTGAATTTATCGCAATTATGGGTATGAACGCACTTGACAAGCTGCACCGCCAGCCGGTAGTCATCCTCGAGTTGACGCGCCCTCTTCTTGTACTCGTCATCGCCCTCACCAGCCGCGCCGGGACTCTGCGTGCTCCTCAGCCTGTCGAGCTGCGAGCTCACGGCGGTGAGCTGGGATTCCACGTCGCGCTTCTGTCTCGTGACAGCCTGAAGCTCTCGTTCTGTCCTCTCCTGTGCGCCCACGTACTCTCCAAGCCTCCGCTCGAGCTCTTGTACACGCGCGAGCGCCTCAGGCGAGCTCTGGCGTCCACCGTTGGGCGCATCGCTGTCAATTGCGATGTCGTTCTCCTCAAGGTAAGAGTGCAGGGTGTTGAGCCTGACCTCCGCGTCCGCGGCCTCCTTCGCCTTCTGTTGCAGCTCACTCTCGCGTTGTCCAAGTTCGCGCCTGAGCCTGCCGGCATCTCCGAGAGCGCTGCCCAGTTGTGCGCGCAGTCCTGCAACCTGAGCGCGAAGAGTGATCTGTTCGCCCTCGCCTTCACGTGCACGCCGACGCTCGGTACCAAGCTCGTTCTGCGCCTGGGAAGCCGCAGTGCGAGCATCGTTGAGTAACTCGCGAGTGCGTGTGAGTTCAGCCTCGAGTGCGGCGAACTTCTCGCTGTGACCACGGGTTGCACGTTCCTCGTCACCACGCAATTCCCTGTGCGAGTCGAGCAGCTCTCCGAGGCCGGTAGTCGTGAGCGCGCGGAATGCGTCCGCCTCTTCACGGCTCTTCGCCCATTGGTTTTCGACCTCGACGAGTCGCGCGCGCGTTTGCTCCGCCTCGGTACTCCTCGACTCGAGTTCGCCACGAAGTTCTGCGAGTTCGGTCTCGTACTGAGTGAGCTGCTCGCGCGTGTGAGCGCTCTGCTCGTCGACGGTACTGGCGCGAAGATTCGCGGCGTCAAGTGCGACGCGCGTTTGCTCGAGCGCGCGAACATGTTGTTCGCGCAACGCTTGCAGTTCGCGTACCGTCTCGGCCAGAGCTCCCAGTTCGGCATCCTTCTGCTCGAGTACACCTTGCTGTGCGGCGAGGCGGGAAGCATGCTCGCGCGCTTTGCTGTCCAGAGCCGCATGTGCTTCCTGCGTCTGGGTGTGGTCGCGCAGTACGCGGACGTGATCTTCCTCTAGTCTCTCGGCGCGTTTGACAGCCTCGAGTGCGCGAGTCTCGTGTTGCTCGACGAGCGCCTCTCTGTGTGCTAGTTCTTCGGCAAGTTCCGTGAGGCGCCGCTCCTGCGTCGCACGCTCTGCGAGCGCGGCTGCTAATGCGCGCTCGAGCTCCGCGTGTCGATCCCGATCCAACCGGCTTGCGTCCCCTGCGGCGCCTGATTCGAGCGCGGCAAGTTTCGCACGATAGTATGCCGCTTCCTGCGTTGCAGCCGCGCGCATGCGCTCAGCGTCAGCTATACGCTCGCTCGCCTGTCGCGCTGCCTCGGCCATGTTCGCTGCCAGTCGTGCACGAAGTTGCTTGAGGTTGACCACCGCCTCCATCACGCGCGGTTCGCCCTCGCCGTCATCCTCCAAGAGCACGCCTTCTGGCACATCTTCTCCGGCGTCTGCGTATACGAAGCCCGCTCGCGAAGCCTTGAGCAGGGCTGCGCGCATCCAGTCCGACTTTCGTCGCATGGCATCAAGTTCGGCATCCTTTGCGCGCAATACGTCGCTCGGTATACCGACCGTGCCTGTGAGTGAGGCCTTGTATGCGTGTCCATTGGGTAGGGGACTGCTGGCCTTGATCGGTGCACCGTTCTCGGGCGATTTGACGCGTTCGTTGAGTGGTGATGATCGCCCGGGTGTGCCGTTCATCGTAGCAATAGCGGCGCTGGTAAAGTTGACGGGAGATGCTGCGCCACGGCGCGCCTGCTCCGGCGACCGCGAACGCGTCGCATATGGATCTGGCAACGCGCCGTCCTCCTCGTTCATAGATAGGAACTCGTCATCTCCGCTTCGCATAGGCGCTTTGCCCTTGCCGTTCACGCTTCCATTGACCTGCGCCGGCGCATCCTGCTGCGGCGTATAGCTCATTGGTTGACCGCCCTGAGTCGGCGAAATTGCGCGACGCAGTTGATCCGCGTCCTGGCCCTGTGGCGGCGTAGGTGACTGGGTTCGCCCGTGCGCAGTGCTCTGCTGTTGCTCCTTGGTCTGGCCGTTCGCGATCTCCGGACCCATGGATGACTTGCGCGTAGGCCGTTGTGCCCCCGCACCCTTGGTTTCTGCGCCTTTCGCGTCCGGTGGGTATTTTATGTGTTCTGTCTGAGTGTAAGGATGGTACTTTTGAATGCGAGAAGTAAGAATTCGTACTGGTATCCAGGACATGAATGGCCGCAGGCTCATCCGGAGTTGGAGTCTCGTACGACTCGCCTCCAAGCACAAAGACGCGGGACCCGAAAGACGCCATGGCGTGTCCTGAGCGACCACTCGGACTGGGACCCATATTTTGGAACATGAACCAGCGCTTGCCTGCAGCATATTCATCAGCCTCAACCGAGTTAACATGAGTGAAATGGACGCACTTGAGATCTTGAATGCAGTCAAGTCGCCAAGGTCCTTGCCATCCACCCCACGTCCACCAAAGACGTACATGACGTCGTCAACGAGCGCGGCAGCGTGCCCCTCTCGAGGACTAGGAATGTAGCCAATACATGACAATTCCTCCCAGCGCCTGGTAGGGACATCAAACATCCACGTGTCGTTATAGTGGTATTGACCATCCGTGCCGCCGAATCTACAGGGTAGGGAAGGGGGGTGGCGGTCAGGGCAGATAACGGGGCCGAAATGAATTGGCGTACATCAGGATGCGATCTTGGTGTGTGACGCAGACATGTCCCGTGCGCCGTGCGGGTTTGGGTGAACCTGGAGCAGGTTCGTAATGCTCCCAGACCGGCTGGCCTTTTACTATACTCGCGTATCAGAGAAGAGCGTGCTCGTGTGAAAACCAATGATACGCACGCGAATTGAGATCGAAAGCCCAGAGGTCGTTAAGGAACTCGCCGTCGACCTGGCCGCCAAAGACGAAGAATTTGGAGCCGACCATGGTCACTGTATGACCGTAGCGGCCTGCCGGGCCGGGGCCGACGATAGGCGCACGAGTCCACTCGCGCGATTCTGCAAAGTAATTAGACTAAACCTGAGAGACAGATATTCGCATTCCACTTACGGAGGTTGAGCAAATAAAGACTCTCGTCCTGCTTGCCCTTGCCGTTTTCCCTCGTATCGCCACCCCAGATGATGAGGACGGAGCTAATCTGAGCTCCCGCGTGACCGATACGCGGACCTGGGACCTCGCCCGACGTCTGGAGCAGCGTCGCGCTGAGGTCGCGGGTGGAAAAGACATAGAGGTCGTTCCGTGCCGAGTCCTGGACGAGACCTCCGAAGAGGAAAAGTTCGCCGGCGGATGTTGCCGTCGCTGGCAAGGCGTGTCCGTAGCGGGGGAAGGGCGACGGGGACGGTTTGGTGGACGGCTGTGCGGCTGATTTGGGCACTGGCAGCGGCGGCTGGAGGTGTAGCCTGCGCGTGGACCACGGGTACGCGGACCGGGACTGGCTCTGCGTCGCCGGCGGCTGGCCAGCTTGGGTCTGCCCTGACGGCGGTTGCGCCTGCTGGGCGGGCGCCGGCGCCTGTGCTGGCGAGCCCTGCTGTGGCGCGATGGGCGGCGCGCCCTGGCTCGCTGGCGGGCCCTGCGGCTGTCGCGCGCGTTGCTGGGTGGCTTGTTGCTGCTGGAACGCTTGCTGCGCCTGCTGGCTCACCCTGTTATCCAAACAAGTTACTATCGTCCTCGCGCCAGCATATGACTGGCAAACACGTACACGTCTGCTCCGCTATCCCTGGCAGCGGCAGCAGCCTGCTGAGCCTGCTGCTTGTCCTATGGTGCCCGTGAATACGAGTCGACGCGGAAAGGCAAGTCCGAGCAACGCACGTTGGGATGCTTCTTCCTTGAGAAGAAGGACATTCTCCTTGTCCTGGTGCCAAATATCGACGCTATGGCGGCGTATCACGCGCTGCGGAGCCGTGGCAAGAGTGGGACGGAAGGGAACGAAGACGGCGCCAGACAGCGCGACGGAGCCTGCTGGGTGCGTTAAGCAGGCAACACTTGTCGTGAAGGCGCTCTATTTCTCCCGTTCTCACGCAGCCGTCCACTCCTCCTGCGCCTTCTCTTTAACTTGCTTCGTACCATATACGCTCACAAACACCTCTGTCTATCATTTTATGTTTGTCTACGAGAACCAACGATGCGAGCCTCATGCGTGACAGTCAAACCACCTCGTGCTTCTCAGAACGTGTCAACCGTCCAACTCAAAGCCACGCTTCCGACCTCCCGCCAATCCGCCCCTCACTCGTTCCAGGTCACAACCTGTCCCCCGTCCTCCGTCTGGTGGTCCCGCCGGCGGTGCATCATCAGCCGCTCCCTGTTCGGATATAACCGGTTACAATCTACGGGCCACATCTACATCAGCCATCCTGTGCTGATCTATCACAACCATCCCCTCTGCCACGCACCTGCATAGGCGCAAATGAAGATGGCCGTCCTATACCGAGCGAAAGATTGAGTTGAGGTCATTATCTTAGCGTGCTGCGTGTCAATGAGGGTGGCGGAACGTACTCGTTCGGATTAGTCGCTCGGCCTATGAGCGGCTGCTGCAGCTGTTCGGCCGTGGTCGTCGCTGTTCTCGTATTTCAGCTTCATGTCCTTTCATCCTTCTCGAGATATCACATACCATCTCGCACCGCGGGCTGGCTCGGCAGCCTTGATGGCAGCTTTGGTTGTGTGGCCATCGTGGTACGGGAGCCGGTACTCGGTAGTGCTCCCCAAGAACGCAGCGGCCGGCAAACTCCGCAACGAGGCGCGTGTGGCGATGAACGCGCGCCTGCCTCTACTTGCCTCTACATTGCTATGGAAGCAGCAAAATATGTCTCGTCTGCTTGTGCAGCATACTGTGACAACAGTTGACGTGTGATATGGTGCACATGTTTTCAGGGATAACTGACTGACTTCCGAGATGAGAGAAGACGACAGATGATAATCATCTTCTGAGTTCTATCCTACAGACAACAGCTTCTTCTGCGGCCGCCTTTCATCTCGTCGCACGTTCCGACATATCGTCCCACGAAAACCAACAAGCATCAGACTTCCTACTCAGACCGTCGGTGCTACCGCCAAACCCGCCTAACAATCCAAGTCTTCGACATTGCACAGATGCCTCTTCACCCGCAAGTCGGCACCAAAATCGATAGCTTCCGACTCCTCGTCGGGAACTACTGGTGCAGGTCCGAGGTGGTCGCCGATGCCTGAATCGAAGACAGGACCGTCGCCAGCCTCGCTATCATCATGCTCCCCCTCGCGATAAGAGCCCCTGACAATCCATGCATTGTCGGTGTACAGGCCGGATGGCTCGTCGCGAAGGACATGATTGGAGTTGTTTAAGATCTTGCGTGAGTCTTTGGGACTCTCGTGGCGAGACAGCAGGGGTCGCGGACAGGTATGCCGCGAAGAGAGCGTCGAGTCCCCGTCTGTAAGAGGTGTAACGTGCCCTGGGCCACCGATTGGGACACAGGGCTCAATGTACTCGATCATGGCCGGCTGTGCTTCACGCTTGTCAAGCCTGAGATGGTGGGTGACGATTTGCCGTGTATACCTGAACGGATTGACTTACGGTGCAGCAGACGCGGCGCGTAGCAAGAGGAGGACAAACGCGAGAGGACGAATGATCATGTTTCGGATGCCGGTCGAAGGAGCGAGGACGAAGGGTGCGCACTCTATATGCCTCCTGCATAGCCTCCGGCAGGGGCAATCGTTCATTGCACTACTGTCTCATACCGCAGGGGCCTTTGCGAGACCAGCAAATCAGACAGCAGCGCATATATCGTGAGCTCCCTTACACGTCTTGCAATCAGTCCCACTGATGCGGTGACAGTATATCCCTTGCAGATGATATTTACAGACGATATTCATATCCCTCCATCCGAATGGATACCAATCGAATTGCATACAGTCACTCTTCCTACGATCTCCGAATTCACCGAAAGACCCGTAAACACATCTTCGAGCGATGCCGGCTCATACATTCAAACGTCGACACGATCAGACCCTCGCCATCACGCCCCAATTGACGACAAGTCAGGCCTGTTTCCTCTACACGGGCTCTGAGCTAATAGGTAGAAGGCCACCCTCGAGAACTACGGGCCCAGGTCCGAGGTGGTTCACGATGCTCGGGTCGAAGACATGACCATCGCCAGCCTCGCTGTCGTCGTATCCCTCGGCGCCATCAACATCGCCGTCGTAACGCTGAATGATGACAGGTCCTGGCCCGAAGTGATGAACGATACTCGGGTCGAAGACATGTCCGTCGCCGGCTTGGCTATCGTTGTAGCCCTCCGCTCCCTGGTCTCGGTTGTGGCGGTCTAGGAGCACGGGTCCTAGGCCAAGGTGGTTCTCGAAGCCTGGGGTAAGGACGTGGTTGGGGCCGAAGCCAGGGTCACTTTCGCTCGCTAGCGAGTTGCTTTGGTTCCGAGTGGTCAAGAATGAGTGGCGAACGGCCAGGAACGACTCGAGGGGAGGCAAGGCGGGCTTGATGATGGCAGGTGCTCCTTCGGTGGGCACTCCTTCAGTAGGCGCCGCCTCGCCGATTCTGCGATGATCACGTATATAAGCAACACTCGGAATGAAGCAGAAACCGAAGCGTACGGTGCGGCCAAAGCGACGCGTAGAGAGAAAACTGCGAAGGCGAGGAGGCAACTTGAGAACATTGCGATAGGCTGTTCTTACCACCATTGTAGCATGCGCCGTATATGTATGCGTTGAAGCATCCGGCTGTATCGGATCCCATATTTGAGTCTTACATGGGCTGCACAGGATTCACCTTGGCACAGGACGAACAGAGACCTCTTGAGGCCTGAAAGGGGTGATCCCACGGGCGATGCATCCGCATCAGACAGCGAAGTGCGACAGGAGCCGCTCAGACGCTGCGACCTTGGTATCATCATGCGCGTTGTAAACCGGGCATAGTTGCCGGTCAAGCATAACAGAGTCATACGAAGTACAAGACAGCAGGAATATCGACAGCATATTCACATACAGATCATGCCTCGTCGGCGGCGTCCCGGTTAGCAGCGCGCTGTGTCCACTCAATAGCCTTAGCCTTTACGGCCTCGGCACCCTCATCATCACCCAGACGCCTCTCGAGTTCCAGCCACTTCTTGAAGAATGATCTAGAGGTTCGGTGAGTGATACGTCCCCCTGAACATCCAAAGAAAAGACGGACTTCGCCTTGTGGCTTGTCATCTTCAGCGCGAGAACCCGGCCGAAAAGGCCACGCAAGCTCTGAATATCTTGCTGACCTGCCTCCATGTCCATGTAGATAGACCATAGATCCCAACGCTTCGGGTGGGAGTCAACAATGCCCTCGAAGATGGTCTTCCCACGCTCCGGATCGCCGATCTTGTACTCCAGTTGCGCGAAGCGGGATATCGTCTTTAGGTCTGCGCAAGACTATCAGTGAGAGACGGCGACAGCGCTGAGAGGTGACGTTACGTTTGCGCTTCTCAAGGCTTTGCAGGCTACGCGGAAGGAGTTTGCGTGCACTCTCAACGTCGCCGCGCTTGAGGTAGAACTCCGCGAAGAGCGTCCAAACCTTCGAGCTCTGTCCGAACTTCTTGGCCGTCTTCTTGAACTGTTCCTCTGCGGCCTATAGCAGTGTCAGTAAACACGTCAACATGGCGAGCCACACCTGGCATAAGTGTACCTCAAACTTCTCCGACTGTTCGAAGATCGTCGCCATGCGCAGATGGATCGTCTTGGAGTCGCAATGCCTTGCAGCGTCCTTGAATACCGATTCCAGGCTCTCCTCCGTACCGTACACGTTCTCAAGATTGAGCAACGCGATCCAGACGTTCAAGCGCTCCTGCTCCTCTCGGAAGCTGATGGTCTGCACAGCACGCCGGCCAACCTCACGAGCCTTATCCGCGTCACCGAGTTGCAGAAGGAAAGACATGTACTGAATCCAGAGGTATGAGCTGTTTGGGGACCCTAGCAGCACGCGCTCAAAGTCCGCGTTCGAGTCGGGCGTCTTGGTCTGCAAGTCCGCCGTCAAGTCGAGCTCGATCTCTTTCTTCTTCTTGCGCTTCTTCTTGCCGCCGGCGTCTTCGTCGTCGCTATCGGAAGAAGCATCGGATCCGTCATCTTCGGCGCCGATGTCACCCTCATTCCATTGGAAGCCACGCTTCAGCTGCAGAGAAGGCGCAGCGTTACCTGCAGACTTCGAGGTACCGGCGATAGGTGCGGGTGTGGGCGCTGATGTGATCGTCTCAAGGTCGACCGCCATCGCCTCCTCATCGTCCGAATCCGACTCAAGGTCTGACCCATTCGGAGCGACTTCTGCCTCGTCGGCAACCTCCTCATCCTGATCATCCTCTCCAGCGTCACCATCCTCCTCATCCGACCCTTCTTCGTCAACCATCTCAACATCCTCCACCACGCCGAGCGGCTGAGCATCGGCCTCCTCGTCAGAATCGAAGTCCTCCGCGGAGAAGTTCGATGGCTTGAGGCTGAAGCCGATACGCTTCTTCTCGAGGTCGATTGACTTGATGACGGCCTTGACGGTGTCGTCCACGCGGAAGCTACGAAGAGCGAGTGTTGTGTCGGCATCTTTGTTGTCCGAGAGCTATCAATGCACGTCAGCAAGATACTCGCTCCACGTATACATCAGGCAACCCACCTCAGACTTATGGCATAGCCCGGAGATCTTTGTTCCTTGTATCTCAATGAACAGGCCGTAGTCCTCGATCTTCTTGACGCGCCCTTCGATCTTCTGGCCCTCACTGAACGAAGAGAGCGAGTTGGAGGACTTGAGCTTGGACATATCGCCGGAGCGGAAGGTGAGCTCGACCGTCTTGCGCTCGGGGTCGATAGTGAGGACACGGCCCTTCACAAGTTGCTGGACTTGAAAGCGCGGCTTCCACTCTTTGACATACTACAAAGGTACAATCAGTATGTGTTCTACAAGAGCGGCTGGTCAACATACCTCGTCAAAGAGCTCCTTAATCTGCACGCGTGCGTCCAGATTCCGGCCGATAGACACGAATAGCCCATGTTCCGCGACGCTCTTGACGAAGCCGCGTGCAGTCTTGCCGACCTTCAACTCGTCCACGCTCTTGATCTCCGGGTCAATGACGTCAGGCTCCTCGTCCGGATGCATCCGCGAGGCGCGCGACGACAGTGTCAATTGCCTGTGCGCACGGTCGATCTCAACGACAGCGCCGCGCACGATAGTATCAGCGCCCGGGAACGGCGTGCTAGCTTCGTAGTCATCCGCTGAGTCCGTAGGATGGAGAGTGCCAGTGATGCTCCCGGTGATCTTGAGCAGCGTACCGCCACGCGCTTGGCGCAAGACACGACCGGCGACGAGTTGTCCTACTTGCACAGTGTCCAACGTGAGCGGCGTGTCTTGCTCGACCACCGGTTTCCCGCGAGGCCGACTCGCCACGATGACGAAGCCCTTCTCTGGCTCGCGAGCCACAACGAGCAAACTCGGTAGCTCGTCCCCTGCTTTCAACACACCACGGAGCTGCGCGACAGGGACCTTCCGTGCGTTCGCAAGGTTCTTCAGCGAGAGAAGAGCGCGGATACCCGAGGGCTGGAGAGTGCAGACAACATTCTCCTTGTGGACATCCTGAATGACGCCCGATACTTCGCTGCCGATCTCAACGCCACTGATGTCCGGAATAGGCTTAGGCTCGTGGGCGGCGCTTGCTTTGAGGATGCTCGCAGTGATGAAACGTGATTCGGTGTTGATGGAAACTATGCGTACACGCACGGGCTTGCCCGCAGTATACGCGGCCGCAAGGTCGCCAGTCTCACTGTACAAGACATATCAGAATGCAGAAATACCAAATGAATATAACACGTACACAGCCTCCTTCGCGGGCACAGCGCCCTTGACATTGTTGAAGAACTCGATCTGCAGGCGCTTCTCCGTGACACGGAAGACAGTCGCGTGCGTCACCATCCCAACTTTCGCGTCCTCGAACGCGGCAATGATGGGAAGGTCCGACTCGACGAGCGTCTTCTTCGCCGTTAAGGCGATGCGCTTGCGCTCGGGATCGACAACGAGTACCTGGAGCACATGAGCGAGAATTCAAGATTCACACAACGGACGGACTTACCCTGCATTTGATAGAGCCCCCAGGTTTGAACCGTCGTTGGGGCTGCTTCAACGGAATGTCGGCATAGTGATTAGGGAAGACCACTGCGTCAACGTTTCCGGAGATGGAGACGAAGAGTGCGGCGTCGGTCAAGCGTTTTATAGTGCCCTTGACAAGTTCGCCTGGTTGCACGTCGCCGACTTGCAGGAACTTCTGCTCCAGTACGGTAGGCCGCAGAGATAGCTGCAGCAAGCCGTCGAGAGGGTAGTAGCCGATGACGCGCGCTCGTTGTGACGAGCCTATCTTCCATGCGCCGGCGTTGGAGGGTAGAGACACAACATGTTCGTCGGACACATGCGATATCTGCGTCTACTGTGAGCACCAAGTGATAGCCGCGGCCCAAGGGTACCTACGTGAACGAAGCCTAGCAGACCCGGTTGGACTTCCACAAGCAGACCGCGCTCCGTCTCCACCTTTGCGACTTTGACGCCTTCTAATGTCGTGCCGATGGGATACGTTTCCTGCAGTGTAGATGGTGTGTCTTCCTCTTCTGATGATCGCTTTGGCGAAAGCTTCAGCACGTGCTCTGCCAAGGACAGCGCGAACCTGGGTGGCGAAGCGCCTGCAACTTCGTATAGGACTCGCGCTTTCAACTTCTGACCGAGCTTGAAGTTGTCTTCGGGGTTACCGGGCGGCAAGTGAAACTCGTCGATGGTCCCGTCGAAAAAGCCGAGAATCTGGACGACAAGCCCGAGCTCAGAGATGGCGGTAACAAGACATTGTACAAGCTCTCCGGGAAGCACAGAGCCGACGCCGGATACTTCAGTGACCTAGAGGGGAATTCAGACACATCGACGCGCATATAGTCTTGTGTACGTACTGATGCATCCCTCACTGCTGACTCTGCTACTGTGACGTTGCACGTGCGACCGTTGCTGGAGAGTTTGGAAGCGACGACGTCCACTATGCGACCGACTCTGAGTTTATCGTCGCCGAACCGTTTCTTGGCGTCCTTGAAAGACAGGAAGCCTGCGACCTTCGGCACACCTAGGTTGAGGATATAGCCATGGTCCTCCACGCTCTGCACCGACGCTGACAATGCCTAAATCTGAATGAGAATAGTACATGGCATGATACTCATAATAACTTACAAAACCGGGTTTCAGATCCGCCTTTGCGACGTTCTCGTTGACCTGCTCGGGGTTCAGGCTGAGCTCGACGCGCCGGCTTGCCTTCTCCGTAGCATCTCTGCTCTTCCCAAGCATCGCGCCCTCCGTAGTACCCGCGGCATGCACAGCCGTGACGATGCAGCGCACGTACTGGCCGATTGCGAAGAGGTCGGTTAGCTCGGGCGAACCCAACGTCTTTCCCTCCTCTTCCTCATCGTCTTCCTCGGCCGAGCTGTCCACGTCCATCCTTTCGAGAGCTTGTGTGAGCTCTGAGGAGATATTCGTTATAGGAACGTGACCGGCGAGCTGGTTCGGGAGAGAGACGAGAAGAGCGAGGGGCTGGATAGCGGTAATCTGAGCGAGGATCTTCATGCCGACAGACACGCGCTACAAGGAAAGTTAACAAGACATGTAATATCAATATGGCCATAGATGCTCGCCTTGTAGTTCAGGTGTTCAACGCGTATTGTGCTTCCCTCCTCTCCATCCTCCGCCTTGCCCTTTCCTTTGGCCTTCACATCCGACTTTCTCCTCTGCCTCTTTTGCTTTTGCTGTGCTTGGTTCTCCTAGAATAGGGTTAGCCAGAGTTGGCTTGCGCGAAATAGACGGATATATACCTTGAACAGTTCATCATTCGCCTCCTTGACAGCCTCGGCGCGAACTGTCTTGATCTCGTAGGGCGTGAGCGAGCTGCCGCCTCCGCGCGGAAAGTCGACCTCCTCTGGCGCGGTGACGGGTGTGTAGACTGTGCCCGTCTTTTTCTCCTTCTTCTCCTTTGGGCCGGCAGACGCGACCTTGGTCTTCTTCGGCTTCGGCGCGGACGCGGAGTCCTCGAGTTGCCGCTTTTTGCCGACTGCCATTATGATTGGGTGGGCGAGTCGGAGAGCAGAGACAGTGAAGCCCGCTCTGATAGAATTGGGGAAAATGCCGAAGCGAGTGGGTGGAGGAAGGAGGTTCAGACTCTTCGAAGCGCGTCCGGCGCTCAAACGAAATTTCAGCCGATCTCGATCGCGTCGTGGCCACGCGAGCGCGCGTGAGGCGCATCGGCGCGCGCGTCTTCGCGTCTTCACCAGTACGGTCACCATCCCTTTCCCGGTTTTGTCGCAATGGGCACGTCCATCCGCTCTTTACTCAGCTGTAATATACTGACGCATGTCACAATTCTTAGACTACCAGAATCGTGTCGGCTCCAAGTTTGGCGGTGGAGGTGTTGCTGGTGCGTCAGAGAGCAATGTCGACCGCAGGGAACGCTTGAGGAAGCTTGCCCTCGAGACTATCGACCTTGCCAAGGTGCGTTACCGCCATGCTCTATCCGCCATCTTAAATTTATACTTTCGCAGGATCCGTATATTCTCCGTAACCATCTCGGATCCCTCGAGTGCAAGCTCTGTTTGACACTCCACACCAATGAGGGCTCCTACCTTGCCCACACCCAGGGCAAGAAGCATCAAACGAACCTTGCCCGTCGCGCGGCAAAGGACATGAAAGACTCCCAGCTGCAGGTAGCCCCCACACAGTCCAACGTCCAACGCAAGGTCTTCCTCAAGATCGGCCGACCTGGTTACCGTGTGACAAAAGTACGGGATAGAGACACGGGCAAGGAGGGAATGATGGTCCAGGTGCACTTGCCGCAAATAAAGCAGGATGTTGTCCCGAGGCGACGCTTCATGAGCGCTTGGGAGCAGAAGCGCGAGCCACCGAACAAAGCATACCAGTACCTTATCGTACGTTTGATTGTATGTCGTCGACGTTCTCTTCTGACGGATTGGCCCAGGTCGCGGCCGAGCCCTACGAGACAATTGCGTTCCGCATTCCAGCACGGGAGATAGAAGATGAATCTGACGACGCCGGTTACTGGAACTGGTCGCACTGGGACCCGGACACTAAGCAATATAGCTTCCAGTTTATGTTCCGTATGAGCTACTGACCGCTCTGTACCCATAGTGTATCGTGTCATTAATATATCCAGTGCTGTGCGTCTCACACAATCATACGCTGTACTTGGATTGAGCGAACCGGCAAATGGGGGTCCATTGGGGGCCTTGCAAGGAAACGAAATCGGCCTGCCTGACTCGGATGAGTACATACCTTCTTGATCTGGACGACGCACTAGAAGACCTTCCGGATTTGGCGAAGGGATTGCGCCGCCTATTCTTCTGGATGGGTGCGAGCGAAGCTTACCATGTATAAAGACTTCGCGAGTGCAGCTTTTGATCTCGACCGTTCTTCGCTTCCCCTCCTTCGGCGCGTTCGATCTGCAAACCAAGATGCCGCTTGCTAGGATAGAGCCGCCTCTATCGAAGGACATCCTGCGGAATACGACATACAGTGCGTTCTGCAGCGCATGGTCATTTCAATAACTAGCTCACCTGATTTGTCTTTCAGGTTCTCAAGCCCCCGAAGGTTACCAGAGTACCTTTAGGATGGTATCGAATAACATCGATCATATGAAGACGGACTATCCGGAGGGCATGCACTGCTTCACCACGCTGCCGCAACCCATCACGGACGAAGTCGAGAACGACGGGTATGCCGAGTGCTACTGCACAGGCTGGTTCAAGCGCAAGGTCCTTTCCACGCCAGGATTCCCATCGCGCGTCGTGAGACCTCGCAGACTCGTGTACGAGATTCGCAACGTTGCTGGTCGTGGGTTCGGAGTTTTTGCTACTGAGGATATCGCACCGGGCGATCTTATCATGGCCGAACGACCGCTCCTTGTGGCGATGGTATGGACCGCTGGCTACCGTGTTCCAGGCGACAACGTCACCCAGGAGCAGTTGCTAAGAGGCGTACGTCAACTTTGATATCCCTACTATGGCAATGCACTCATCCGGGTTCATAGGTGTACATCGACATGGAGAAGAGCACAGCGACGGCCTGTGCGCGAATGTCGCCCAAGAATCTCAAGGCGTACAAGTCGCTTCATAACAGCCACAAGACAGACGGTTCCGGGCCTTTCTCTGGTATCCACCGCACGAACGGCTTTGACGTCGAGGTCGATGATCCTGAAGGCGTGAAGCTCGGTGGCCCAGGCAAGGGGCACTACTCATGTGTGGGTGCCAAAGCTTCGAGGCTCAATCATGAGTGCGTTTCGTTCTCCGTTGCCCATGCTCTGTGCCAGGCGTCTCATGCCTATACCCCGTAGTTGCTCGCCAAACGCCATCCATCGCTTTAACATGCCAGCCTTCTCGATGTCGATCTACGCTGTCCGCCCCATCGCGAAGGGAGAGGAGATAACCGTGAGCTACACCGGTGTCACCGACGATTCGGCCTCACGCCAGGAATCTCTCAAACCATACGAGTTCACCTGCGTTTGTCTCGCATGCAAGGACCCCGCAACCTCGGATAAGGAGCGCAAGAGAGTTCTCGAGGGACTCTTGCCCAAGACGTCGCAAGGCGTTGAGCACGCAGACCGGACACTTGCCACGTTTGAGGCCACCGGGCTACAGTGCCACCCACGCTATCTCGATCTCCTGCGCCGCGTCGCGCAGATCAACCGCAAGAAAGGGAAGCCCGAGCGCGCGGGTGCGCTGGACGCGGTCGCAGACAGGCTTGCTAAAGTGATGAGGACGAAGGACGAGGCTCCTGATCCAGACGTCATGAAAGCTTTAGGCATCGACATGCAGACCTTCAAAACGCCGGAGGAGGTGATGAAGTTCATGCAGAGCCGTACTGGGCCGGGCACTGGGCATCATGTGAGCGTGCAAGCGGTGCAGAACCTCATGAAGACCATGTCAGTCAAGACATAGGCCGATGGCTAAGGAGGTCCATGCGTAACTTGTATGATAGCACGAAGATTCGAACCCATTTGCTAAGCCTGTAGGCTGTCGCCGATCCGGCAACTTGATGTATTCGCTGTCTGCTCCATGCCTCTGCCGCACGAAACTCGTTTTTTGCACGAGAGAGATGCTGCGATGGTGACAACTAGCTCGACTCACACCTTCTGCGCTACGTAGCTATGAGATTGTTGGAGGAACTTACAGACAAACTCACTATCGCGTTGGGCAGTCGTGACCCTGTAGGAGAGCCGCTCATTGCCGATTCTCAGATGTGCAGGGTAAATCCTGCAGGAGTGCAGTTCGATATAAGAATACAACGGCATATTATACATCTGGGAAAGTAGCAAACATCATGATCAAAACAGGCAAGACATGGCATTAAGCAAGGAATGGGGATGCGACCGCAACAAGGCGCGAACGTTTAAACTTCTTTTCCTTTGGCAGCTTTGATTGAGTGTCAGAGAGCAAGATACAAGTCAAACTGGAAACTTACCGGGTATACTTTCGGTCGAGAGCCTGGGCGGTGTTGAGTTTCCGAGACTGTTGACGGCTTCTGCGCGCAACTGCTCCAACTTCCTCCGGAGTGTCTGTTCGACAAGACTAAGCCAGTCCTCCATGTCCGAACCATCCTCCTTCTTGGAGCCATTGTGCGAGGTGATCACTGAGAGAGCGTCTGCAGCAAAATCTATGGGGAGCGCCGAAAACTTGCGATACAACTCCTTGTCAGATTGGGCCAAACGAGCCGTGTACACCGAATGGAGGTACTCTGTCGCCGCGTTGCGAGCAGCATCCAAGGCTGTCTCGTACTCCAAGAAGTGGCTGGCTATGTCGTCGTCGACAGGCGCTGAGAGTACGAAACTCTTCTGAAAGCCGGGCAAGACAGCCGCAACTTCCGCTGGTGTAGCGCCCTTGCGAGTAGCACGATCAAAGAGCTTGCGTTTGGCCAAAAGCTTTGCATAATCATCGCACTCGGCCGAGTACTTGTCAACGACACGGTTGTACAGGCGCGCGATGTCCCTGAGGACGGATGTTGAAGGTTGAGAGTGTTTGGTATCCGGATTGAGGATGGGAGCCCATTCGGGAGGCAGGGTTGACGGTGAACTCCGGTGGGCCGCTTTGAACTCCTTCTCGGCGGACAGCGAAAGCGGGTTGGCCATGGTGAATGGTTCAGGTATTGGCACACAGAGGGCACGGTAGCAGGAGACGGTGACGGGTGGGGCCGTCCGTATCCACAAGGCCAGCTACGAAGTTATGACGCCACCATGTACGGCCGGACCTGGAGCATACACATCGAGTAATGCAGCTTCCCAACTTATCATTCTTATTCCCGTAGAAGTGGTAGAATATAGACATGCGACTATAGAGACATCCGCACGGCAACAGAATGGATGTTGTGGTAGAAGCCAAGGCTTGGAAGCTTGTTCGAGACAAGGTTGTGGCTGGTTGTGGCAGGTTGTGGCCGCCGCGTTCGGGATGATGCGAAAGTGCCACGGCGCGTCGGTGTGACGCTCGGCGCAGGTCATCGGAGGACTCTGAATTGAACAAGCTCGGGGGCATGGCGGCCTGCGATGGACTCCAACTCTTCTCCTTCTACGCACCGCCAGCAAGTGGACATCACGCAGGGTTCCAACTCTGGCATGCGCCCTTCGCCCAGACCGGCCGTTCAAGCGCGCAAGCTCAAAGCGCGGCCGTCCTCGCTTCAGCTGCCGCTCAGCATGCCTTCTCCACCACCACCCACTCAGCCTTCCCCAGACAGGCCCTCTAATCCGATCCTCCGCTGGTTCAAGCCGGAGAGCACGAGCACCCCGGCCAGCGCCCTTCCATCCAACAAATCACTCCCCGGCACGCCACAGAGCAGCAACACGCCGAATATCTCACGCACACCCTCGCCGCTCTCGTCCTTACAAGACGCGCTCAACTCGGATCTCCCGCAGCTGCCACAGGCCGCTCATCACGGACACCCACCAACGTCACTGTTTCCTAATTCACACCACTCAATCGCATATCCCCCGTCTTTCCTGCGCGGACTCACGCATACGACTCTCCCCACTGCTTCATTATCTTACGGCTCTGATGATTTTACCCGTGGACCCATCTCTCCTTCCTACTCGCCACCAGAGCATACTTCGCTCGAGACCCTACGCTCGCTACAATCACACAGCGTGCGCCGCGTGAACAGCCTGAAGCGCTCCCCGACGCGCTCCCCCAAAGAAGCAAGATCTTTCTCGACCAGCTTCACCCCGTCGTGGTGGTGGTCGCAGAACGAGAATAAGGCCAATGTCGATCAGCTGCTAGACGAGGCGGATCGTGGAGAGACCGTCAGTGAAGAGCATGAACGAATAAAGCGAAAATGTGCGTTTCCAGACAGTAATACGCGCTTCATCGCTGATAATTGACGCTAGATCTGGCGCCGAATAATCCGATCGTCTTCTGTCACGGTCTACTGGGATTTGACACCGTTGCCGTTGCAGGTCTGGAATTTGATCACTGGCGCGGTGTGAAGGAGGTGTTGGAGCAGAACGGATGCGAAGTCCTCATCACTCGTGTGCCCGCCACGTCCTCACCCGCAGATCGAGCCGCCGTGCTCGAAGAACACATCGAGAAGGCATATCCCGGTCGTTCAATACATCTTATTGGACACAGTATGGGCGGGCTTGACTGTCGCTACCTAACTTCTCGCCTGAAGAACCACACATTCTCAGTCTTGAGTGTCACTACAATCGCCACTCCTCATCGCGGGTCTGCTTTTGCAGACCAGTTCCTGGCCTATCTGGGTCACGAGCGTCTGCCAAGCTTCGTCAACTTCCTCGACATGCTACCGATCGGAGGAGGCGATGGGGCCGCTTTCACGTCTTTGACCCGCGAATCGATGAAAAAGTTCAATGAGGAGACGCCAGATCAACCCGGCGTGCGTTACTTCAGCTGGGGTGCGATGTACGAGCCGGGTTTGATTGATACCTGGAAGCGAGTGTGATCTTTTATATATGCACGATGCTTGCTAACATTTGACACAGGTTGTCCCACGGAGTCGTGCTCGAGAAGGAAGGTCCCAATGACGGCCTTGTCTCGGTCTCATCGGCACAGTGGGGCACATACCTCGGAACGCTTACGGATGTGAACCATCTGGACCTCGTGGGCTGGGTCAATCCTGCGCGCTACAAATGGGCCGAACTGCGCGGGAAGGCGATCAAGTTCAAAGCGGCGACCTTTTATCTGGGCGCTGCTGATCTGCTCGCGCGAGAAGTGGAGGGCCAGGCGCCGCTTGCACGGGAAGAGAATGTAGATGACGATGATCCGATGGCCAGCGCAAGCCGCCGGGCCCAAGCACATGGTGACGCGACTGTCGAAGACCTGGGCCGGCAAGTCGCTGGAGAGGGTTCGAAGAAGGATGGGCCAACGGCGACCGGACAGGGTCTACAGGCACGGCTAAAGGACGCCGTTGCTCGTGGTACCGGCGACAGGTCGAAACAGATGCTCCTCGCGGACGATGATCCATGGGACGCACGTTCGGAGCCGGGTTCGGAAGCCGGTAGTCCACCAAGGCATTCGTAGATTTTGGCATACATTCTTGTGGACATCCCGATAGATACACCAGTTATTTCGTATAATATTTTTTCTCCGTACATGCACGATACCCTGTCATATCTACGTTATACTAATGCTAGTCGCTCGCTATGTTGATGGTGTGACCCCAGACGTGACAAGACGTGTCGCTCCGACAATCGTGCAAGCCTGATGACGAGCACTTGTTGGTTCTTCGCCCTCACCTCGACTCGGACTCTTGTGCTTTAGGCGCTGTCGTCCTGGCCAGATGCTCAGACTCGCAGCACAGGGACAACATCGCGAGAAGCGCCAGCTGATGGTGTCATGCGCAACCCTGATCTCGGCATGGCTCGGATGCCCCGACTGAATGGTCACTCTGCGGCCCTCGTGTGTCATTACTACACCGTCTTATTGGAAGATCAGGCTGTCTGTAGTGACCCTTTCCGTACAGCCTTTGTCTCCCAAGCCCCTTGAGGTTACATGTGAAGCCTGATACGATTGCGGGGTATGCGGAGTACACCTCCGAGTGTAGCAGTCTAGTCTGTGAAGCAGGCTTTGCTACTCTCAGCGGCCGGGGTTCTGCGTACTCTGGCTTGCTCACATTATCCTTCAACAGCGAAATCATACCACCACGTCTGCATTCCTGTCAACTTACTCCTTGATCAACCACACAATGCTCCGTTTTATCTGAGCCCAATGAATGCACGCCATACGCGTTGCCGTGCCAGTTCTTCTTGAATGCCGTGGGCTCCGAGTCGTCGGACAGGTCAGGACAGTCCGGCTATGAAACTGAGAAGGCGACACGCTTGCACATCAACTAGCATTTCGTAGCTCTATAGAGCATAAAAACAGACACCTCATCTAGCACATGGCAACCTTGGTCGTGACCAGAACTCGACCGCCCGACACTCTATGGACAGACTGCGCCAAACGCAGCACGGGCACGTCCTACTTCCGTCAGTCGGCACGGCTTCACATTCAGGTCATGGACCTGATGTCAACGTAGCGTTGATCTGGACGGATGGACCCGGTAAAGGCTTGTGCAACGCTCTTGCGAGCACGCGGTCGGCCTCTCCCATCAAGATACCTCAGGTTCGTGACGGCACAGTGCCCTCGAGGATAATCACTATAAAAGGATGCTGTAGTAGGATCATGGACAGTATCCTCCTGCTGTGCCGCATTTAAGGATCTAGTCCTCGAGACTCAACTCGCCTCGTCACAATCAATATGCTCAAGCTCGCCTCATTCGTTGCTCTCGCCATGTCTATTTCACTGGCGCAGGCAGGCAAGCGTGGTCTCGCCTGGCCTTGGTGTACGTCGTCCCTCGTGCACGTGTGGCGATATGCTCACCGTTAGCCAGTCAACTCACCTCTCGACCCCGGAGTTCTGAACAACGGTGACGGCGAAGTCGTTGCCATGTGCGTGATCCCCATCATTCAGCCTCAACTCTGCCATACTGACACGTGCGAGTAGTTACGACTGGGAGACGGTCAGTGGGACATAATGGCATCGTATACATCATGCTTACCATGGTAACAGTACGCGCCCCCAACATCAACGGGTGGCACGGGCGGACTCGGCTTTATTGGCATGCAGGGCTGCAAGGACTGCAGCTCTTCTCCGTTGTCAGAGCTGCAGTCGCGTGCTTCGGCACAGGGGTGGGCTAGTACGAGCGTTTAGTTCTGTTGCTAAACCCATGGCTCACCGCACATATAGCTGTGTTCTCTGCGAACGAGCCCGATCTGCCCAGCTCTTCGGCGTACATGACTCCGTCGGAAGCAGCCTCCTGGTGAGTATCGTCGATACTGGGGCACAATTGGCTCTGATCAGCGCATAGGTACATCACCAACATTAACCCCTTGGCCATCAAGAAGGCGCTTCCTGCGATCACTTCGTCTACGACCAGCGGGGAGGGTCTTTCATGGCTGCAGCAGATGATCTCCGCGTGCGCGGGTAACTGCTACTACGACGTACGCTCTTCTATAATCGCTTCTCCAACAATGTCGCTGACACGCCATGCAGTACATCAACCTTGTAAGTCGCTCATATCACAGCATGTCCGCATAGGATCGCTCGACTGTTTGCATGAAACAAGCCATCCTCTAGCCATTCCTATGATTCTCTCGCCGAGCTCTATGAGAATGTGCTGACGCTTCGCAGCATTGGTACGGTACCAGCTATGCGGACTTCCAGAGTCATGTAGAGCAGGCGCACTCGCTCTTCCCGGACAAGCAGATCGTAGTAACTGAGTTCGCACTTACGAACCCGGCCGGCGGTGCCAACGATCAGGTTGCATTGTACGTCGACCGACTCATGCAAAGAGACGATGAGATTGACATCCAGGTTCAGCTTCAAGCAAGCCTTCGCCTGGTTGGATGGACAGAGCTATATCGAGCTCTACTTCCCGTTCGTCGCTACAAGCCCCAGTCTCCTTCAGGCCAACGATGGCGGCGCGGTCAGCAACGTCGGCACTGGATCTTGCCTCTATACCGACGCCGGAGGCCCTAGCTCGGTCGGTAACCTTATGTACTAATTGCGTACGATCTTCGCTTCAGTTATCACCTAAGTATTCTGGGCTCTGAGTTTCATTATCGTCATCATTTTGGTCTGAAGGGTGATGGGCCTGATACTGTACAGCTTATATAGCAAGGAATCTATAGTATAATTCTCCGTGTCGTGATGGTCAGTATTCATACGTTCAGAGGTCCTCAGCCCAGCGGAGGACATCATCCAGGGATATTTCTGGCAATTGCGCGCCACGAACGCCGACATCCTTGCCCTGTCGTAAGCAAGGTGAATGTATGAGCAAGCCACGCGACTCGCGTACCGTTTGCTCATTTCGTTGCGATGTTGTATCAGTGGCCGGTCCATCCGCGGTGAGTTTAGCCATGGCGCGAAGCTGTGCAAGCTGGGTTTCGAGTGAATCGCACTTCCTGCGCGTAGCTGTGAGATATGTTGACCCACAGAACAGATCGGAACCTACTCATGGATGGCCTGTGTCTCTGCGCGCCGAAATTCAAGTTGTCGGGTCATCATCTCTTCCACATTTATCCGAGCCTGAGCTTTGCGGTAGTCATTTGCACCAGCCATGAGATTATAGGCAAGAATACCGAGCCAGTCTGCCTGTTGCTGCCATTCTGGAAGCTCGTCGCCTCTATTCTGAGTGAGTGATGCCGGAGGAAGCAGAAGAGCGCCAAGCATGGAGGAGTACGTGACAAGGCTGGAGCGCAAGATATTCAACAAGGCAGGCCGTTTATCTTGTAATTACCGGTTCGTCAGACGAGAGAGCATCTGATATGGTATAGGCGTACCGACGTTGGGATCCGAAGGATACAACTGCTGACCCCCGGCTTCTTCCAGCGTTTGCAGATGCTCTTGTACCTGGAGATCATCCGTTCATTCGGCAAGTCACGCAATATACGGCCTACGCACATTCCATATCTCCCCGAATACCGCCCAACTACCGTCCTCAGTTATCCAATCAGAGCGTGGCGGCTCTAAATTCACAAGTGGCCAGTCCGGCACATCTGCCTGGTCCTCAAGCACTGCGCGCTGTTTCTCCACTGAAATGTCACCCTCCGGTACACGTTCACGAAGCAGGGCGAGAAGTGCAATATTCTGAGACGTATGGTTGGTATAGTTAGATGGCGGCGAAGGGTAGGGATTGCGAAGCTCCTGCTCTTCCTCCTCCATGATGGTGGTTGCCAAGCAAGGCACGGGATCGTGAGGCGAGCGAACAGAAGCGCGCCTCGAGGCACGCACATGATGTAGGATGGACTTCTCCTTACCGCCCACGATGGCTGCAAAAGCGGAATTGTGCACTGCATCATGCTTGCCGCAAACCACCATCGTAGGCGTTCACCATGGCGAATCGAGGACTACGGCAGCTGCTATTCATTGATTATCCGAACATCATCTTTCCGTCAGTGGCAACGGCACTGGCCATTCCCGCACTCGCATCGACCCCTTCGTTCATCCCTTTAACTTTACTGGTTTCTTGCCTCCTTCTGTATACGAAGGTCATAGCTCATCGCCCACGCGTTGCTGCTCATATCATAGCGTGCTGGTTGCTTGTCGCGGCTGGACAGACCGTCGGCGAATTCGCCGTTTCGCACAATGCGGTGGCGTCGCCCATCGGCGCCCTCCTATCCGCTTTCGTCCTCTCTTGTATCTCAAGCGGCGCACATCTCTTGCTCGTCTTTGCCGATGTATGGAGCGGAAGGTTTGCCCTGCCATGGGCCCGTGTTACGTTCTTCCCAGCTATTTGGTCGACCGGTATCCAGATCCTCGCGAACGTCAGCCCTTTGGGCTACCTCATGACGTGGTCGCCTACCAGTGGCATCAATTCGTTCGAGTGGATGAGGCCGACATTTGGTCCGTGGGGGATGAATTGGGTCGTCGCGGCAGTCGCGATAATTGTCGCGGAGGTGGCAGGCTGGTGGTTCATCAACGAAGATAATGAGGATGGCCTTGACGTGGATGGGCATGACGGCCAATCCAACGTGCTCATTGAGCATCCCCTTCCGAACGAAGAGAGCGCGAGGAAGCGTGCTGTTACACACGGGTCAACCCACGTCATCTTCCTCGTTGCTTTGATGTTCGTCATTGCGATACCATCGTTCTTCATCCTGCCCTCACCTGTGGCCCCATACTCCGACTCTTCCACGCCTATAGACGTCGGATGTGTGCTTCCTCGGCACTCAGCTGGCTCCCAGCTCACATTTGAAGATTACCTGTCCGAAACGATACTCATGGTAGGACGCTCCAAACGACAGATTCTCCTGTGGCCCGAGAGTGCCGTCCGCTTCTACAGCCTCGATGACCGCAACGAAAAGCTCGAGAGACTGCATCAAGTGCAAGCTGGAGGCTATGTGGCTCTCTCATACGAAGAGCCAGAACCACATGCAGGAAAACGGAGTGGCGTGCGTCGCAATGGTGTTCTGGTCCAGGGCCCGGAAGGCGTCGTGCTCGATTACCAGAAGCGCAATCTAGTCCCTTGTGAGTCTTATAATCAGATCGAACCTGCCGCACATTATTCATGACTGGATATTCAGTCGTCGAATCGTTTCCCCTCGCAAGTGGTTCAGAAGACCCTGAAGTTGTAACCATCCAGATGCCCGCACTGCCGAATGGAGGTGGTAGACCCGGTAACAGACTCAGGAACATCACGTTGACCGCTTCGATATGCCTCGATTTTGCATCACCTCGTGCGCTGAGCGGGTTATCCAAGCGTCCCGCGTTGGTTCTTGCGCCCGCACGCACCTGGCATCCGGACGTCTCGCGAGCTATGTGGGAGCAGACGCGCGCTCGCGCTGCAGAAATTGGTAGCGCGGCTCTCTTTTGTGACGGGGGTCAAGGCGGATTCTCGGGCGTCGCTGGTGCAGGTCTGCACGAGCCTACGCAAATTGGGCCAGGCACATGGCTTCGCACGGTTGGCGTACCGTGGCCGCTGGATGGTCGCAAAACGGCCTATGCGGCGGTGGGAGATTGGGCCATGTTCTTCATCGTGTGGATGATCATGGGAGTAGGCGCCTTCAGCGAGTCGGCCGTCATTCTGGGGCTGCGTCGGGTCGCACCCCTCGGAGGCTCGCTTGTCGCCGTTGCGCGACGAGCTTCTGCTCTTCTCTGCAGAACGCGCACGGCCGACGCCGAGGGCCGCGAAGCGGCTCAAGATGGTGAACACGAGCCTCTTCTTCATTGACGGGCACTGTGACCCTTTTCAGCCCGCTGTCTTAACTTTGCTTTTCGCCCGCGAGACCTGATACAAACCTATCTTCTGTACGGGATGATCTCCATACATGGTATTGAATGAATACAAACGAATACTGAGTGTGGTATAGAATGACCGAAATGAGTGTGGTGTGAAGTACGAATTGCCATAACAATGAGACGCTGGACAGTGTATCCGGTACATGGGGGTTTTTCTTCAATCAGATCAGACGAGTTGCCCGCGGGTACCGGCGTCGGCTTGAGGCACAGCATCTACACCGTCCATCTCTCTCTTCGCTGCTAGGAAGAGTAGTGTTACCGCACATATGCCCGATAGCGCCATCTGTGGAAAGTAGCCAACCGTATCTACGTCCCGTGGGTCAGCAAAACAAACCCGATCATTTGGGAGTGTCGACTAACCAATGAGCACTCCATCAAGCCCTGGACCATCTGGCATAGCTTCGCGGAGTCTTGGTATAGCTAAGAGAATCGCAAGGACCGCCAGTGCTGGGGAATCGCCGGGATGATATTCTTCGTTCCGGACCGTGAGAAGTATCAGGCCTACAGCGGCATGCGCGAGCAACCAATTTGTGGCCCAGAGAGAGAATATGAATATCCTCGCAGAGGTAGGGCGACTGACGCTAAGGCGCAGTTCCCTACTGGACCGACGCGAGCCGTCAGACAGTGCGTGATATGTGCTCGAGTCAGACGAGGCTATCGAAAAGCTCATCGTCTCGTGTATAGTATGGAGCGCTTCGATGGGTATAGGGGTAGACGACTGCGTGTCGAGCGCGAACATGGTTGTCGAGAGCGAGTATCGATCCATTGGATACAAATGGGCTTCGTGTACATCCAGCACGTAATCGGCGTCGAATTGAGACAGCGCCTGAATGCTGAGTGGCATTGTCAAACGCGAGCGCAGAACATAGTCGTGCGGAGCTTACTGTCTACGCATACCCGAACTTGAGAGATATGGTATATTCGAAGGTGAGAAGACGAGAGCAGGTGACTCGGCGCTAGTGTCGGTGTTAGACATTGCGGGGACAGAAGGGGACGAAGAAGAACGGACTCGTCGACAAACACGCTAATGTTCCGATTGGGAAGGCCGCAGGCGGCGATACCATGTATACCCTCAGAACCGTTCAAAGCGACTCCTGGGCCACAAGCTATCAAGGACCACCGCACGGTGATAGACGGTTCGTCGACATCGACATCGACATTTTCTCCCAGCAGCAAGATCTTGACTCAATGTTAGACCAGTGGAGGAACACGACGAATGAATGCTCACTCCAGATGGTAAGGCATCTGCTGCGTCCTTCAACAAATCCCCCAAGACATCGCTATTGCGTTCACCGAAGAAAGCGAAGGAGAGTGAGCCGGTGAAGATCAGGGAAACGAGTGTGAAGACGATGAGGAGGACAGTGGAGGAAAGACGAGAGCTACGCGGTGGGGTAGTCTGAGCGGTAGGACGGGGCTGCAACGTCAACGGCTCCGGCCTGTGCTTAGGCTTGAGATAGTCGACCTTGAGGAACGGTTCAAATGGGCGATGAATCCCCTCCTCGACGACCTCTAGCAAGCAGTCGGTAGAGACAGGGGAAAGTAAGGTGTCAACGCCGTGCATTTCACTGGGAGAGGGTGAAAGGGCACATTGAGAGGCGTAAGCGGCGTATCGCCTCAAGTATCTTTTTCACAGACTGTCAGAAAGAGAAGCACTTTGGCGGATGGGAAGCATCAGGTTTCACCCCTTCGGGACTGTGACAGCCGAAAGTGGCCACGTCGGCCAAGAGTATAGCTTCCCTGACAGTCATCCGTAATCCTTCCAAACAGTACATGTCAGAAGACATGCTGAAGGGCTTCATAACCTCATGCTCACAGACAGGCTTCTAGAGCACTACTGCCAAATGCGTCAAAATTCTCCGACATGGTCACATCACGCCAGAAGGAGCTAGTTTCCACAAAACGTCGAGAAAACGTGTCAGTTCTCGTCCTCATGAGAAGGGTATAGTCCACCGATGTGAAGCCTACATGGGCCATCGGCAATCTCTGCGACACGTATCCGCTCTACTCTGAATCATTGGGACAGAGAAGAGTGAGAACCACGCAAGGCTTCGTTACTGTCCATGGCTCAAGGCCGGAGGTGAATCTTCGAAAGACCAACTCTACGTCAAGGCTACTCTTGGCGTGTATGGATGAACCAAATCGTACGTGACAGGAATGACCCCTCCAGATATCAGACGTTCGAAGGATCGTGAGCAGCTGTGGCGAAGCAGTCCTATGGGAAGTATACTGAGTCAGGCCGCCGTTCAGCGCTATTACCGTCGGTCATATGCTTGCATTGAATAGGGCGTTGGGGATTACGGACTGTAGTCTTCGACGTGGCGAGATGGGAGACAAGAGCAAGCCCGACGGCGGGCGTTGATGGGAGGCATGTCTGGCCGTGGGAAACGGGGGCATCCCACGCGGTACGCCACAACTACGCTACTTATTCTACGCAAATTCCTGCAGTCTCTCCTTCTCCACATCCGTAGAGCTCCATATAGGCTCGTAAGCATCAACAGACTCACGCAAAACCGTGATCTTAGCCTTCATGCGCGAAGCGCAGTCGGGACCAAGCGGAACGCGCACCCATTCACGTTTGGCGCCCTTCCCGGGTCCGAGAACGACGATCTCATATATCCGCGCCGCCGCTTTTGTTGCGTCTCCGATCTGGCCTTGATCCATGTGAGCTTGATGGTACTTCTCGAAGGCGCCGTACCCCTGCTGCGGAAGGGTGTATTCGCCGACACGCTCTTGCTTGTAGGTAGCCAGAGCAGTACTCAAGAAATTCGTCGGGAAATATCCCGGGACGATCGACAGCGCACGGATGCCAAAAGGCTCTACCTCACGGTCGAGGGTCTCCGTGAACGCGTCAAGAGCAGCTTTGCTTGCATTGTAAGCACCGAAGGGAGGGCTTCCCGCGAAACCTATGAGAGAAGACGATATTCAGAATGAGGGTCCCGCTGCTGCAATGCAGTGTGAACGGACCTGCGATGGAAGAGACATTCAGGATATGCCCGGACTTCTGAGCGCGCATAGTGGGAAGAATCTCTTGGATGATGGATATGGGACCAAATACATTCACGTTGAACTGGTCTTTGAGTTCATTCTCACTGTAGTTTGGGTGTGAGGAAGACTCCGATGCGCATGACTCTGAACGCACTCTAGGTACTCGACAGGGCTGGAGAGACCATAGCCAGCCATATTGACCAAGACATCGATGCGCGGATGAATAGATAGAGCCGACGCCACGGCCGTCTTGATATCGCGACGCGACGAGCCAGGGTCAAGTGCAAGAGCGGTCGCTTGAGCGAGAGATGCGGGCAACTTGGAAACATTACGAGCAGCCGCGATGACCTGACCTTGTTAGCGCATGCATCTGGTGACGAGAGTGAGAAACTCTGTTCACAAACCAACCTTGTCGCCGTTTGAAAGAGCATGTAAAGCGAGGCGCAGTCCAATGCCAGAGTTGGCACCAGTTATTAACCAGACACGAGCTTGAGACATCGAGAAAGTGTTGCGGTGAGTTATGGCTATAGCAGCCCCAATAGTCTAATATATATATGAGCATGACCCACTTCCTTCCGATATTGGAGGTACTTACCACCTTTCTACGATGAACTGTGGATGTCGCACCGCCTGCCATGTTGGAGAGTGGATGATCCCGGTGATAACACCCGGTGGGTCCGGACCGGACTGCATGTGGGTTCACACTACCGCGCAGGCGGGTTGCTACTACATCGATGAAAGCCATCATAGCGGTGGTTCAGAAGACAATCTGCGCGTGTACTTAGACGGAAGAGATCGTATCACTTTGGGTCGTGCTAAAGACACGCGCTAGCCAGTCCTGTCGGGTGCTGTATTGATAGTCTCATCATGACGATGTCGAGTTCATCAACATCGACTGCTAAAGCAGTTCGCTCGCCGAGGAGACTATCCTTCGAGATACGTGATACTAACGATGAGATTGACTCTCTGGATCTACAAGATTATGGCAGCATAGGATTTATGACGGCCGCTCCGAAGCGAGACCACAGCGAGGACGCTTCTTACAGCCTAGCGCGAATCACGCCTCGTTGCGGGCCTGGGGCGCTCGCTCCCGGCAAACAAAGCAGGAGGTAGACACGCCGCAGGGGCGCCGGAGTGAGACGCGTACAAGACAGTACTGACATGCTGAAATCACTTGCACCGTCTACGCCCTCCCTCGACCATGTTTCCGTCGCAAAACCTATCCAGGTTCGCGCGCCGCCTGTCACAGCGATCACTGAGGCGGCCCAACACGACGGACACACTAGCAGTGAATACAGACAGTAGCCCTAACGCATTGAGCACTGTTGAGGAGGAGGAGAATTGGTCTGATTGGGAGGACGCCGGTGCCGTAGGCCATGAGGGTCAAGATCAAGGCGCGTCGGGTAGCGGCAGTCGCGGCGACGCTGTGGCACCCGACGTCGTTGCTTCTCCAGGTCATATATACCCTCCCAACTCTGCGGGGCGCCGCTCAGACAGAGCGTCGAAACATGCGCGTCGACGAGCGAGTGTTCCCAGCGATCTGAAGAAGCTGCTGCTGGATTTTCCTCTTCCTCCAAGTACGCGGGGACTGCTCTCCTATCACCAACATGTCTTATTGAATATCACCTCTAGAATCTATACCGACACCTCCTTCTGCAACCACTAGTCGCCGTGAGGAGCTCACTCCGATAGCGGATGAGCATTCCATCTTCCATGATACCGATCCATTTCGCACGTCTGGCTTGGGACGAGAGCCGCAGGACTGTGCAGCGACTATCAAGGCCTTGAGTGCCATCACCTCTTCTGGGAAGGAATCTTCATTCTACACAGCGCGGTCCCGCGTCTCGACAGGATCTGATGGCTCGGGTACACGGACGGCTGGGTCTTCTACGTCGTCTCCTCCCTTGCCAAAGACCCCGACCCTGCCACCCACTCCCCCACCTCCGGCGAAATCGCGACCTGTCACGCCTCGGGACGCGCCCAATCAGCTAATCGAACTAACGCGGGGTACAAGTCATAGGCGTACTGCGTCTCTTCTATCACACTCGACTGCTATTTCCAAAGCAACCGCGTCTTTACGTCGTGTTGGTTCCACCATAAAGTCCTCTGTGCACGAATTGAGGAAGACCCCGTTCAGGCACAAGAGAAGTGCCTCTACAGATGCTCTGAGAGCCACCGCTCCGCCAACTGCTAGCTTTCAACTTCCCAGTATTGAGCCGCAAGGCTTTCATGTCGAGCTGCCTGTTTTTGATAGCCCACGGCAATCGCTCAATGCTTCACCTCAGACACCGCTCGCGCGCAGACAGTCGTTCTATGGCTCATTGGAAGATCTTCCCTCTCCTAGCCCGACGCCATCGGCAACACTACGCACGCGTTATTTATCTGCGCCATCACTACTCAGCCCTCGGACGGACAATGCACCTTTTGTGCCACATGCCGCATTCCTCACCAAGCCTTCTTTCACTCCCCATCCACCACGACCAACTCGCGCTATACCGCCGGAGCCGCCCAAATTGTCTCCCTTACCGTACTGGGACCCTCCTCCCTTCGCTCGCTATGAGTGCGTCGACCCTCTCACCCTGGGAACATCTGAGACGACAGATTCGCGCATGCTTCCCAGCGCAGTCTCGTCAGCCCATCATTCTCCATCATGGTTATCGCGTAATGTAAGCGGATTTGAGCATGCACTCAGGATGTCAGAGTACGAACCAGCGGCAGCGAGATCTCCGAATCGCGACTCGACATCCAATTTCTCCAACTCATCGCACGAGAGCATGGTTTCAAGCGATTCATTCTACTCCAACCTTGTTGAGGCGTCGGATATTGGGTCCCCGTCGTCAATCAGTCCGAGTCCTTCAGCTTTGCCATCACCTCCAACACCATCGTTGTCCTTCCGCGGTGTTCGACGCCAGCCATCATACGTTACGTCTTCGACGACAACCAGCGAACCATTCTCCATTCGTGGATACATAGACATCCAGGACGTTCGCTCAACGCGCACAAAGCTCACGATTGACACTCACATCCTCCCGCATCCGGCTAAACGGCCTCGTAGGCTTCAGGCTCCTGCGTTCACGCCAGCGTCTCGCTCTGTCTCATCCACCTCGAGGACGCCAGTCTCGTCTAGACCACCATTCCAACGCCAGAGGACACGATCTCGTTCGAACTCGGTGACACGCGCAACCATCACTCACTTTCGCCGCTCTATAGTAGAGCACAGGAAACAAAGTCGAGCAACACTCACGGCATCGCGCCGCACAGACGCTGTATGTGATGAGTCTGCTGTACTCACAGTGCGCTCGTGGCTAACACGAGGCACAGACCGCTATTCGGGCCGAGAGCACGCCTGCGTCGCGCCCTCGGAACACGCCTCTCAAGTACACACCCAGCACGACAGCCGCGCCCTCTGCTGCGAGCACTACAACTTACGCCCGCTCGACGACAACCGCTTCGTTGCCGCCGCCGAGCCTCGGAACTGTTGGTGCGTGGCTGATCACACGGATCCTCGGCGATCACCGAATACTCACACGGCGCCCAGATCCAGCGGATATCGCACCTTCCTCAAGCGCTTCATCATCGACTCTCGCTCGTGCGCCTCGGCCTCGTCCGCGACCCCGCCCCCGCCTTCAAGAGGCTCGCACGCGACCGCATTACGATTCTTAGACAGCCGATCGTATACTCTCTGCATACTACTACTCCTTAACGTTATCAAATATGGCTGCGATATTCGGGAAGCCCGCGGACACTGTAGATTTTGGTGGAGAGGTGGATTATGACGGATACGACTGGTTTAAAGAACCCGCTCCTGCTCGGGTGCGCGATGAAAGCAAGAGGCATGGGAGCGCACTGACAGAAGTGTAGGCAGCTCCTCCACCTCAAGAACCACCACCGCCACAGTTCATCCCCCATCAAGATGTGATCGAACAGAACGCTCAGCTGGAGTACGCCTGCGCCGCTATGCCGAATGTACTGACGCAGAGATGGAAGGCATTTGGTCAGGTACGTCAACAACATATTATATCCATTCAGTCGATTAACGCGACACCTGTAGGTCGGCGTTCTTGGTTTTTGCTCGGAATTTGAAGAGCTGCATGAAGCTATCAAACGGCTTGGCGTCGACGGCAACATGTTCGTGCAAACACGAACTGCCGCGCTTGCCGCCTGCTCGACCATCCTTGAACTCGAACTTCTCCAGGATGTCAGGCTTCAAATCATTTTATTGCTTCTCTCTGGACTCATCCAGAAGTTACGTCGCTTTCTCGATCCCGAACCCATAAAACCCTACGACGATTATCCCCAAATAAACTTTCCTATCGACCCTTACGAGTTCCGTTGATGCATTGCGTCTCTTACTTCGTCACTCCCGGATTGTAGAACACCTGTACACTCTTTCTATTGCTGCATATTGCTATCATTTACCGTTCTCATTGAGCTGATACCTTCGTCTGGATGTGACCTTTTGTCCGCCAGTGTCATGAAGTTATTGAATTGACCATTAGCCAATAACGGGTTCTGGCGTTAGTGCAAGCTGCGAGCGATGGTCTCGTATATGCTTTCATAGAGCCAGCTCCCGTTGTAGCAGACGCTTGGCAGTAATGGCGGACTTATTCCCCGAGGTCAGCATAGTCAGCCACGTCAGCCCGCCAATGTCCTGAGAGGTGAATGACTTAGGCCTGTCAGCAGGAGCTCAGTATGAAGAGGGGGTCAACACCCTGTAAATAGCACAGCAAGAAAGGGCCGGAGGGTATATATCTGCGATTGCCTGAAGGGTATGTACAGTACGAAGTGGTCACGATTGGCAATCCATGGCATTCCTTGACAATGTCGTTCGCGCTATCATATATGATATGTAGCAATAGATTGCCTGATACCTGATGAGCCTGCTCTCGCTTAACCTTCCCCAACGTCAGTCATTCACACGGATACGCGATATCAGTAGCAAACACCGCAATGAGCCTTGCGGACTCGCAGTCCTGACGAGCACCATCGCCCTCGAAGACAAGCTGGATCGTGTTAAACGCGGTCACGAGCGTATTCCCACGGCTACAGTGGCATGAAGTATGCTCTTGTTACATAGAATTGAATCGACATAAAATCATAGTCTACAAGCTACACTATTGGCGCCACCTTTATTGTCCTATATTTCACACGGGTTTGCCTTTACCCTTCACACTAGGACCGTCCTCACGTGCAGTCTTCGCCAGGTTACACACCACCATACTCGTGTCATCGACCTTGAACAGGTGTCGTTCGGCTGCTAGTCTGGTTTGATCCACCATGCGCGCAACGCGGCGCACGTCAGCACCGCCAACGAGGTGCCCGAGTAGTTCCACGGCGCTATTGCCGCCTTCACTCCAATGCGGCTGAATGGGATGTCCAAGAATCCCTTCAACTTCAGCCTGCGACGCAACATCGTCTTGAAGGAGCAAAGATAGTACGTGCACAGGATCTGCATCGCTGGGTGCATCTGGCCGCCAGACAAACGCTCCCTCGACAATTGCATCAACGCCGTCGGAGAATACGAGAACCGTGGGGTCACGGTCCCAGAATCCTTCGGCGTCGAGATCGAGGAAGGAGACGTGTGGTGTGGAAGAGATGTAGGGCGGACTGTGCGAGTACTCGATGACGTTCGCCAAGTGGTCGGGATGTGCACTGGTGGGCAGATGTGCAAATATGTTGGAGGCATACGAGGAAGGTAATTTCATGGAGAAATCTCCGATAGCTGCATAACGCGCCACACATGAGCAGACGTGCTTGAGTACAGATCTAACAGGGATGGCGCACCGCGAGTGATGGACAATGCACCGAGGATCCTATCCGAATTACGTATAACGATGCGTTCGTCCTCTCCCGGATGGGCCATACTGACCCGAAAGTACTCCTGCGGGTTGGTGGGTCGGTGGAGCTCATTCAGCCTTTTCCATCTCGGCCTTTCCCCAGGACTATTGCGCGTCGTGGTGATAGCAATAGTCGAATCGCCTAGCCCGATGCTCCACACACATCGCTCGTCTAAGTTGACGAGTGCCGCAGCGAGGGTTGTGCCGTGATTGGCCCTCTGTAGCGTTTCGCGTTTCTCGGCGTCCCCAAGCAATGCGCGCGCCTCGTCTCCTGAGAGCTTGGACGCATCCGGCACGAGTTTTTTGAGAGTCTTGCCGATGTGTCGGTCGAATGCCTCAACCTCGCGAATGAGCAACTGGGAGATCTCGGATGATGACGCTGTGCCAAGGGAAGGGGCTTTATCCGATGTGGCAAATATGGTAAGGGCGGAATGAATGCGCGCAGGAAGACGACGAGCGGTATAGTCCGAGGTAACCGAGCCTGCATGGCCTATACGCGCCAAAATATGAGTTCCGTGCCGACTATTTCTGCCAATCTTGGCACACGTACCATCACATACCACAAGGAAAAGCCATCTGTGATGGCCAATAGACCACGACAGCGTCGCAACACGATCCTGATTAGGACGAGATAAGAGAGGTTGGAAGGAAACGGCACTGAGGCCAGGGCGAGCGGAAGAAGCCTTGTAGGCGGTTGCCAAACGAGAGCGCGCGATCGAAAGCAAAGACTCCTTGGAAGCCGGGGTTGGGGGTGTACTAGCTTGCGCCATTGTGAGTGAGATCGGTTTGAGGCAAGGCTTTGTACGAAAGAAGCCGATGTTTTCTGTGGCCTGATATCCAAGCAAGGCAGACGATGCGAAGGGCTTTAAGAGGTGTGGCGGGCGCTATTCATGCCGCTGCGGGCGTACCGACGTTCAAGTCGAAGAGAGGTGCGCAGTGGCTGCGTACAAGACTGAGACTGCGAGCAGCTTGCCTGCCGCGGTGAGGGGCGGACTAGAGTGACTCGCGAATGGCGGGAAGGCGCTCGACGACCGAGCTCCGTCGTCTAGGACCGGCGTCTGCCGGCCCGGGACTATAATTTCTCGATGGAGGCCGTTACGAGCGACGCATACTTTGCAGCGAGAGAAGAGGTTGACACACTGAACGGGCATGGGTTAGCCGGCTTCAGACGATGATGATAGACAGAAGCAACAGAGCGAAAGCGGGGGGCAGGTCGTTCCTAACGCGCTCCGCCCGTGCGCAGCGCACAGTTGACCGCCGGCTTCGCAAGCGCGTGCAGCGTCCGCCATGAATAAGACTTAGTTCACTGAAGACGGCCAGTGTCGCGCTGCGGCGCTGGGCGCGTTATGCGCAGCTATACTAGTACAATGTGCTCATGTGGCCGAGGTGTGGGATCATGAACATGATGGGTTTGGAACACTGGTGACCACCGACGAAGTATCTCGCCGGACAGACAGCCTTCAACGCTGACGCCTCTATAGATAGATGACTATGCGCGCTGATGATCTACGATACATAAAAGCATGCAGTATGAGTCGCGACCCTCTAAGGTGCCGTACTATCGACATGGACGGGTCAGAGAGAGTTATATATCGAATCAGTGACGACGGTACCCTGCACATAGGAATTATTACCCATCACAGCAAGCCAGAAGCTACGATCCACTGACTCCCGACCGGATACTTGCGCTTACAGTGAGTCTCTATTCCGTACTGCATAAGCCAGGGAAGTCTGGACGTGAGGTTGAAAGTTGTGATATCGATTCAGAGATTGAATGGGCATGACGATGATCTTTATGTACATACGCCACAGCTCCGCGGTTCAGAGGGGAGCGTCCTGGCGCGTCACCGCATAAATGTGGGGTAGATAGGCAGGTACGCCTCGAGGCCACCGCGTTGCATATCGTTCTAACCGATTGCAAGGGCTGGACCCGGACAAGCAGTGGGCGACCACCGCATATTTGATGGGCCCGAGTTGACGATTTCCCACGGCAGTTGAACTGGCGTCTGGATCAACTTCACGTCGGCGCGTCTATTCCGGACGTCCATCTTATGCCTCACGACTCATGGAAACGACCACCTCTGCTAGGCCGCGCAGGGGGTCATTGTTCAGGAGACGCGCCAGTACGTCGGATACCCAGCCCAAGCCAGGTCTCCGCCACGCAAAGAATGCCTCGGCGCCGTCTCTCGACCCTTCGCCCGCCCCGAACTACGCCGCCGGCCCGAGCACCTCGACCGACTCCCTGCTTTCTATCAACGGCACCCGGGCGAATATTATACCCGACGCCCTCGAGTCTTTGCCTTCCTGGTACAACAAGGAAATAGACGTTCCTTCATCAATACACCTCATCCGCGCGCGCTACCCCATTCACAATCCTGCTGGGCCCCGTTTCTACCGAAATGTACATTTACGACCACCGGAACTGCTTCCTCCCATGGAAGCCTTCACGAGCACTGTCCCCTCCGCTTCTGCCTCGGCCAGTCAGGCTGGCCCGAGCTCCAGTCGAACCACGAGCACCTCCCCCGCGCCCACGCCTGCCTCCTCAACAAGCAAACTCGTCGACCCTTCCATCAAACCCCGTACTCGAAAGTTATCAAATAATGTTGCTCATGATAATGTCGATTTGCTGGACGTCACAGACCCTTTGGGCAATAATTGGCATCATACTTCGCCTTACGATGCGCTTGCGGCCCCTTCCCCAGTGTCGCCCGACGGTGCGGAGGTACATGGTCTTCCCTTCCGCATGTATACCGTTACTGATCGCGCACTTCTTTCTTCCAGAGAGGCCCTCGTTCACGGCTTCCGAGCGCTGCCTCAAAGCCAAAGACCAATGCGCCGTCTCCGCTCTCGCAGTCGACATCCGCCGTTCATCTCGCAGAAGAGCCAGACGCGCGACCTAAACAGAAACGACGTCGAACGTTCAAGGGCGTCTTTTCCACGAGGGATGACATCGATGTCCACCCACACCCCTCATCTTTGGAACCCGTAACCCCATTCGAGCGCGGCGCATCCCCTTACCTCGCAGTGCCGCCGGCGGGTCATAAGCACAAATCCTCTCGCGTACCGCGCGGGTTGAAGTCAATGTCAACGACTTCCATCCCGCACATCGCGACCTCCATATTTGGGAGTCATGACAAGGACAAGGGCGCCAAGCGAGAGAAACGAGGCAGCGTACTGGGCAAGCTAGCGCACGGGTTTAGCGTGTTGCGCCGCCCAACGCACTCGCGCGGCGGCAGCGACACGACTGGGATGAGCATATCGGATCGCATGAGCATGGGCACCGATCCGAGCCGCCTTTCGTCCGTGCCACCTGCCTCTGGTCGGCATCTTTCTCCGGAGAAAGGCGAGGCACGGCGTCGTGTGCCCGTACCATCTGTCGAACCCTCGACTGCGACTTCGTTATCCCCAGAGCCGGACCCGCCTGCGCCTCCACGACGAACAAACGATACACAGCAAGATAATGAGTATGTGTACGACTCAGATGGGCACTCCTCCCTGTCAGTCGAGGCTCCGTATACTGGTGGGCGCTTAACAATCGTAAATCCGGATCTCCCGAAACCGGATGAGGTAGAGGATTCGCCGGTGTCAACGCTCATGCCACTACGGTCTACGTCGCCCGTCGCCCGTCCGCCTTCTGTACAAGTTCACGTACAGGCCGAGATTGCCGGAATGGCAAGGATTCAGAGCATCAAGCGCTCAAGTGCGGAGGCCCAGAACGCGCCACAGCCTCAAACTGCGCATATGCGCCCGTCGTCACATTCGCACCCCATCCGACCGCCATCTGAGCAGTCCTCGCACTCTCGCTCTGCGTCGTCCCGCCTATCTTCCCAACATGGCGGGCGCTACAGCAATTCTACACATCAACCGGTGCACGCACGCTTGGACAAGAATCTTCCTGTTCCTGCTCCCACCCCGCCTCCATTCATTACGACTGAGATATCGACTTCGCCGATCACTTTATCACGACCTCTATCTGTACTTTCTCCCCCACCTGTGCTGGCCCCCGAGCTGAAACCTTCACACTCTCGCGACTCCCATCGATCTACTCGGAAGCCTCCCTCTTCTTCACCTACACCTTTGTCTACACTTGAACCTGCCCCTGCGCATCAAACCTCTGCTTTTGCATCCCCGCCTCTGCAATCCGTTGTCCCGACACCCGCATCGTCTACCGACACCGTCACTCCTATGCCTACATCTGTTTCTTCTCCCCCACCAACGACCTCTGCGATACCCGCTTCACCCTTCCGGCGAGAGAAAGGAGCCTCTCAAACTGTGATGTCTTCACCATTCCTCTCTTTCCCGGACGACACCGGGACCCCACTCTCACGTTCGAGTCTGCTTGTCAACCCTCCAACACCTACGGCTGGCCCTATGCCCATCCCGCCCGTTGCAAGGATACCAAGTGTCTTTGCGCGACGAGCAAAGGAAAGGAGCACGGACGCATCCTCGAGGCCTCGCTCGCGCTCTGGTTCCACGTCGCCTACAAAACAGGGTGATGATGAGAAGGAGCGCAGGGAGAGGGAACGTGAGGCAAAGGAGAAGGAGGAAAGGGAGCGTCGCGAGCGTGAACGCCGGGCTGAGAAGGAACGACTGGAACGCGAGCGGGCCGAGCTCGATCGCCGTGTACGTGAGAAGGAGCGCCAATTAGAACTCGAACGGGAGCGGCTCGAGGTTGAGCGACGTGTACGCGAGAAAGAGCGCGAGATTGAGAAGGAGCGGGAACGCGAGCGGGAGAGGAGAAAGGCGGAGGAGAGGGAGAGGGAGAGGTTGGCGATGGAACGCGAGCGTGCCGCAGAGAAGGAACGACTCGAGCGCGAGCGCGTTGAGCTCGAGAGGAGGATGTGGGAACGTGCTGAGCGGGAGAGGCTTGAGCGTGACCGTCAGCGAAAGGAGCAGGTAGAGAGGGAGAGGGTCGAGAGTGAGAGGCAGGAGAGGGAGAGACGGCGGGAAGAGGAGCGTGCCGAGAGGGAGCACAGGAGGGAGGAGGAACGCAGGAGGGAGAAGGAAGAGCGCGAGAGGCACGAACGCGATGAGCGTGACAGGAGAGAACGTGAGCGCAGTCGAGAGCGTAGGAAGGAGCGTGAGCGAAGTCGGGAACGCAGGAAAGAGCGCGAACGCGAGGACCGTGAGCGTAGCAGGGAGAGGAGAGACCGAGAACGGGAGAAGGAGAAGCAGCGTGCGCTCGAGAAAGAGATGCACAGAGAGGAGCGTGAACGGGAGAAGGAGCGCGCTCGCTCGCGCTCGCCTTTCGCCAAACGCGCTACCACCTCCAGCGGAGCCGTTGGCAGCGCCAAAGCCCGTGAGACAGAAACATTCCGCCTTGTGCGCACTCTGTCTGGCGGTAACGGTATCTCTGGTACGACCATCGTCGCCGAGGGTCAGCACTATGAGTTGGTCGGTGAAGCTCCGAAAAGGAGTAAGACTACCTCCAAGGAGGATCCGACTCGTCGGGTAAGCCGGAGGGAGAAGGACAAGGAGCGCGAGCACCGGTCTGAGGATTCCCCCGCCAAGGTGCGTCGAGCGCCTATCAGCCGCGACAAACGACACTGAGACGACCTGCATCTCCAGCCTGTGTCCCCGTTCGTTGCCCATGCCCGTTCTGCCAGCTCACCGGTTGCTCCGACCCGTAAAGAGTCGGCCAAGCGGAAGCCTAGCGACCTTCCCCGATTGCGCGAACGCCAACCGTCTGTGTCCTCCGCCTCTAATCGACCCACCTCAGACCTGCCATCGGCCGCAGAACTCCACGCATTGCGAGCTCGTGACGCCTGGGAGATGGACAGACTCTGGCGCGGACATAGTGCGGCGTACGACTCGAACCTCATGTACGCGCAGAGCATCGCGGCAGCGAGCACGTCGACGGTCCATGGAGGAGTGCCCATGTCGCCTCCGTTATCCGGCGTTTATGAGGCACCGTACATGCACGGCAATCTCGCGGCGTTTACCGGCCATACACCAAACTACGTGTTTCCATCTGGCTTGCGCTCGTACCCGGATCTTGGGAGTATCCCCAGCATCGCTAGTCCAGAGCCCGAGTCCCTCGAGCTCCGCTCGCCCATGCGCAATCCTTTACCTTCGCCACCGAAGCCGAGTGCTTTCCGGCTTCCACCGCGCGTCGAACTAAAGGACCCGGGTCTGACAGTCGCCTCGTCTTAAGCGCGAGTTTCCACCTGAACTTTCTTTGTTGTTGTTGTTTTATTTGGACACCTTCGTCTTCTTGTTGCGGGCGTCGGTACGTACGCCGCTGAGCGGCGTGGTGGATTAGACGGACTATGCATACGGCCCCTGCGCCTTCACTCACGTCTACGGATTACTGCTTATCATTATGGACTACACTGCTGTACCCTTGTTGCTGCCATCTCATGCATCATGTTTTGCTTGTTTACTTACACATCATAGTCTGATATGAACACACATCAATGCGAATAGTGGCAAACCTTTAACGTCGTCGTCGTCGTTGCTTGACATGGATGGGAGTGAAAGGGCTTCGTCCGTACCTCAACGCTAGCGATCTCATTCCACTCGTTAGCGCCGATCGTTTGCAAGTGGAGAGGTGCATTACACTGGGGATTCGCGCGACAGAGGCAGCGAAAGACATTCAGAACATTAGTGACTTCCAGAGGATACACTACGGCGTTAAGTCCTCAATCAAACAACGGAAATATGGTACAGCTACGGTGCACCCTACAGACTGGATTTACACTCCGAGACTCTGATAATATTGGAGGTGCGCAACGCCCCGCGGAGCGGGGCGTTGCGCACCGACTGCTTCCCAC